ACAGACACCTCCTCAAACAATAACAGACACACACAACAGCAGACACTCACACAAATAACAGACAGTAACTCATCCACCAACTACTTAACATAACACACTCACTCCTCCAATAACAGACACTCACACAAACAACAGACACTCACACAAACAACAGAAACTAACTCATCCACCAACTACTTAACATAACACACTCACTCCTCCAATAACAGACACTCACACAAACAACAGACACACACACAAACAACAGAAACTAACTCATCCACCAACTACTTAACATAACACACTCACTCCTCCAATAACAGACACTCACACAAACAACAGACACTCACTCATTCAGAAACTAACTCATCCACCAACTACTTAACATAACAGACTCACTCCTCCAATAACAGACACTCACACAAACAACAGACACTCACACAAACAACAGACACTAACTCATCCACCCACTACTTAACATAATAGACTCACTCCTCCAATAACAGACACTCACAAAAAAAACAGACACTCACACAAACAACAGACACTACACAAACATCCACTCATCCACCCTTAACATAACATAACAGACTCACTCCTCCAATAACAGACACTCACACAAACAACAGACACTCACACAAACAACTACTTAACATAACTCACTCCTCCACCAACTACACAAACAACAGACTCACTCCTCCAATAACAGACTAACTCTCACCACAAATAACAGACACACACTCAACAAAGAAACTAACTCATCCACCAACTACTTAACATGACACACTCACTACTCCAATAACAGACACTCACACAAACAACAGACACTAACTCATCCACCAACTACTTAACATAACAGACTCACTCCTCCAATAACAGACACTCACACAAACAACAGACACTCACACAAACAACAGACACTAACTCATTCACCCACTACTTAACATAACAGACTCACTCCTCCAATAACAGACACTCACACAAACAACAGACACTCACACAAACAAACAACAGACACTCCTCAATAACTCACACAAACAACACTTACACTCACTCCACCTACTACTTAACATAACACACTCACTCCTCCAATAACAGACACACACTCACACAAACAACAGAGTAACACACATCCACAACATACTCCTACTTAACACAGACACACACACAAACACTCTAACTCCAATAACAGACACTCCACAAACAAAAGACAGACACACCAACATAACAGACACTACTCACAAACAACAGATAGACTCACTCCTCCAATAACAGACACTCACACAAACAACAGACACTAACTCATTCACCCACTACTTAACATAACACACTCACTCCTCCAATAACAGACATTCACACAAACAACAGACACTGACTCACTAAAGTAATACTGACACATCAATGACATGATATCAATCACAGAATTGTCTGGTCCAGGACTGATTATTTACAAAATGCCATCAATCGCTGTAATCTGCAGAGCGTGGCATTGAACAACAAACAGTAGCTTGCAAGTCAATAAACAAACTACTCAGTGTTGTCCTATAGTAACAGCAATACAAAGACAGGCCACTCACAGACAAACATCACCTGAAGTGTTGGGCAGCAGTTTAAACACAACCATGTGGCTAAAAATCAATTTTAGCAGCTGCATACTCATTGGTTTTTTACCGTTAACCAATACATTTTAGGAATTATGCATCAAAGTACCTGATTTCATCATAACTTCACCTAAACTTATTCCTCAAACATATTTCATTGACAATGACTTAGTGATATGATCATTTAGTCATGTCAAGATTCAGTTTACCACAGTTAATATACTTGACTTCAAATTTTCTAAAATTGTTTCTGATGTTCTGCATTAATCATCAAATTGTTACCAGGTAAACAATATACAGGATATCATGAAGCCATATTGAAACAAGCCATACAAATTTAACTAGGAGCAGATACCAATATACAAAACTGTATACATGTACCTTCATAACAATATCATTCGTTGCAATACAACTAGTGAAATAACTGGCAAAAACTCAATCCACCCCACATAGCCCTAGTCTCCAAATGCTAGTGTCAAAGAGAACCCTTCACTGGAATCACATATTCCTGGGTTTGGTTCATTACGACATTTAAAAAACGTGATTCATAATACATCTTGCCACTATTACATATTTAATCTTATGTTCTGACGTTTTTAATCGATTGTTACTTCAATAACATGCATGTGGTTGTGTTTTTAGAATAATGTAGCTTGGGACTAATTCTCTATAGCATTTTAGTTCAAGTCATTAGTACATAACAGACTGTACCAGACATATAAAATATAGATTACTCATATTCATAATCTCCTTTTAAAGACATTCACAATGCATAATGTACAATAGGAAGAATGTTGTTAGTTTGTTGCCAAGCATTTGACGAGATACGTTGGAAAGTTATTTCATTCCAGCACCAATGTTAAAAAAACTTACAAGGCAGATATTTCAAAATTACATTATTAAGGTTTGGCTTCATGTTATCCATTTAGAAATGATAATTAAATATTGATCATCATGATCACTACTATCTAATTTTAGCCAATGATTGAAACAGTTTTAATCATTCACATCTTCCAAGACACTCAATAAAGGTCCTGCAACAATGTCAAGAATAGGGACTTCATTGATACATTTGTTACTTGTTGAGTGGGCGAGTTAGAATGGTTTGAGGTGAGGTGAAATTGGGTTTTACGTCGTGCTTGAGAATATTTCGCTCATATGACGACGTGCATGCGTGTGTATGTGTATGTGCGGCTGCTTGTACTAGCCCAGTCTGAAGCTGGTTTTATAGTGCTAGCTCACTGAGATACCATGCCGCAGTGAAGCATGAATACCCCACTCAGACACATTATACTGACTCCGAGCCGACCAGTCCTTGTTGTACCCATTAATGCCGAGCGCCAGGCAGGGACCAACAAGTACCATATTTTAACGTCTTTTGGTATGACGCGGTCGGGGATCGAACCCGCGACCTTCCGCTCTCCGGGCGGACGCTCTAACCACTACACCACGGAGGCGGTCGAATGGTTTGAGACTGATTTGACAATGCTTTCAACACGACAGGGAATACCAGAAAAGCAACAGTTAATAACGTCATTAGTGACAAGTGAACGCTTTAAACATTAAGCTACCACCCTATTAGTTGTGTAGTATACATCTCTCTTGCCACAGGCTAACTGGAAATCCTATAGATAGTACAAGCCAAATAATCATTTTGATTTATTTTTAATCAGAAAATTGCAGCTATTAACTTGTCAATTTGCATGTAGCATTTTCTTCATTATTCCCCCTTTCCTTACAACACATACACTCCTCTCCCACCCCTCTCCCATCCTATCTGTCAGTGAACAATTTGGGTGAAGCCTCTATTGCTGTCCCTTTACATGAACTGCTTCCTTAACTGCCCTAAGTCCTCCCTCCTACCCCTTCATTCTAAATGACCACTCCCTTCTAGGAGAAGAGTAGGTTACACATTTCTTTGGATAAGATACTTACTCAAAGATACAGTTGACTACAGAATCAGGTTCATAAATTGCGTAAATCGATGCTCATGCTGTTGATCAATGGATTGTCTGTCCAGACTTATTTACTGACTGCCATCAAATAGCTGCAGTATTGCTGAATGCAGCATTAAACAACAAGCAAAAACAACAGAATCTATAAGTGAAATACAGGTTGTTTCATAACAGTCAGCATTCTTGCTAACATCTATGCAATTAATATATAATTATATAAATTTAAAACCATGTTTGAGACAATTCACTACCGGTTTGTATATTTTCAATGTTTATTATCTTTCATTTGTTTATCATTATGACATTTATAAGGAATATATTGTCAGAAATAATCATAGTGAGTGAGTTTAGTTTTACGCCGCACTCAGCAATATTCTATGGCGGCGGTCTGTAAATAATCGAGTCTGGACCAGACAATCCAGTCATCAACAGCATGAGCATTGATCTGCGCAATTGGGAACCGATGACATGTGTCAACCAAGTCAGTAAGCCTGACCACCCGATCCCGTTAGTCGCCTCTTACGACAAGCATGGGTTACGTATGTTACATGGGTTACTGGAGATCAATATTCTAATCCCGGACCTTCACGGGTAAGGAATAATCATAACATCAGTAGTATTATGCTTTTGAAAACAATACTGTATAGAAAATAATCTAAATCTTAATCTAACTATAAATATAATCAATAAATTAAGGATGTAGTTTATACCTTTATCAAACTTGATGTATTTTAATACATCAGATATTATTGGAAATTATTCAGCAATTAAAATGATCATACAAAATTATCAAATCATCATGTTAACTTAGCTAAGATACATAGCGTTCACTGACATGTCAGTGAACGCTATGTATCTTAGCTACATGTTAACTGTGAGACACAATTATATATTATTATTTTTTACATTTACACAAAAAAGGTTTAACATAAGGTACAACCATAACAATGTAGACAAAATTTTGGCTTCAAAATGAACACAATATGAATACATTAAAATTGATCAATTAGAAATTACAGCACCTGGGGTCATTTATCGACATCTCAACTGCTTACAAATCAGATAAACAATGACACACCAAATCAAAATATTACAAAAATCCATATAAACCTGTGCAAATAACCTAGTTTGAACGCCAATAATTTTATACCTATCCAATGAAGACCCACACAACTGCTAGTCCCAGATGTCACCTGCCCGAAGTATCCATTTTCTCACCGACATGTTTCCCATACAACACACAACCACAGACACGGGAGTTGAGCCACACAGGCCCACGATATACGATACAGGGCTAATACCACCTTACCCATTAAACCATGCATAAAACCCATTGTATATTGGCCGTTATTGCATGGAATAATTATGTCGGCAGTACGGGCGCCTGTGCTGTCAAACGTGACGATTCCTCGACCGACCTCGTCAATGACGGGAAAAATTACCAGTTGCTATTCACGAACAATACCTGTTTATCATTCTCTTCCACTGTATTCTGTTTGGGGCTGGTGGAAATTCACACCATTCTAAGTTGCCATCGCTTGTGAATCATGTTATGAAACTCCAAAATCAGCACGGTTCATTTCCTTCCGTCGCCCATGTTTTTCGTGAGATCATCCAAATACACGCGCGGCTGGCGCTGCGATGAATTCAAATGAGTTATCGTTCTTGCTGTGACATTCAATATTGATTACTATTGTTGTTATTGATTCAGGTTCTATATTTATCACGATCGATCATAAAACATGCTCGGAAACATATGCTACTGTTGCATACATCGATATTGACAAACAATTACATTAAATCAAAATATAAAACGGTTGCTGTTCTGTGTATCTTTGTACATGTATATGGATATACATGTGCGATATAATAAACGTTTTCATAAAAAAAGGTTCGTTATGATAGAAACAGAAATATACTCACTATGGTAAAAACTAATCTTAGAATCGGTGAGGAGGTGAAGATCTGTGCGTTTGTACTCAAGATTGACGGATGTGACAGTTTAAATCCGATCTGACCAGCAAATGGACACGAATGATCAATAAGATGGAGTAAGATTGATATGAGGTGTCTAATCAAGAGCGATCTGTTCATAAAAGTATACAAATAGCATATAAATATTCATAAAAAGTTAAATGAGGCAGGTTTCTTGTCGGTGTTGAAATATGAATTGAAGATGGTTTGAATCCAAAACTTATTCACAATTGATATAAATAAAACACGTGTTTGAATACTGGTTTCAGGCACCTTGTATACTGATATAATGCATATGCCATTGTTAATATGACGAAGTAGGTTAATATGACTAGGTAGTGACGAAACAGCAGATGACGTCACGCAATAGCCATTTTGACGTCACGAGGGCTTTTATGTCTTCTTAGCAAACTATAGTAGTACGGTTAATAGACATTTGAGCATTCTACTGTTCAGAAATCACGTATTGCATATAAAACAACAGGTAACATCCTTTGTAAAACCAGTATGCGTGTGTGTGTGTGCGTGTGCGTGCGTGCGTGCGTGCGTGTGTGTGTGTGAAATCATCGCGGTATAGTTGATAATCACTAAGTTGATGGTCCAGGGAAGGAAACAGCAGAACCTCGTCATAACACTGAGGTAGCTAACGATATATCTTGAAAGGCAAAAACTGGATAATTCCTTAAACGGTCACCCTTTTTAACCGTGTATAGTAAATATACAAATCACTAGGAGCTATAGGTCATGTCTCTTTAACATTGTTTAGTATTGAGCAGGCATTTTGACGCAACAAACGGCGTCGACATTCGCATTTTCTGCACCTCATTATACGGAGGGCGAAGTTTGCCAATAACGTTTATGTTCGCAACCATGTGCATGTATACATATGTATATGCGGAAGATAATGGCCGTGAGAATTAGACAAATGTCACATTTGTGTTCTACAGTGTGTGATCTATCAGCTAGAATCACTGAGGGACGTGCAGAATCTGCAGACAAGGACGCCCGGCCTTGTACAGCACACACACACACATGTCCAGTATCGATCCCCGCTGTCGAAGCTTTATGCTGTAGTCAGCGTTGTTGTAGGTGTATATGTATTAAGATTTACGGCTGTGTACACATATGTTGAGTCAGGTTGATGCACATCAGTTGATGGAGCCAATCCCGCGATCAATAAACTATGTAATAAATGTGCCTATGTCACAGGCAGTTTGGTTAGTGCATTTATCCAGACCAACATATGTTTCTTTGCTCATCAAGCCGAAGGCCCGGGTTCGATTCCCACATGTCTACAGGGTGTAATGCCATGAAATGATGGAAAGAGGCCTACAATCACGCTCGGTCACTCACTGTCGATGTTTCATAAGACATCCGCAGAACAGAACGCTGTCAGAGATGCTAAAATGGGTTTCACCAAGGTTTTAGACGTCATCAGTCTTTGCCAACGTTGGACCCGATGAGATTTAAATACAGAATCAGTTTCCAAGTTTGTTAGAAGAGTCTTATAAAATTGGGAACTGTTGGTAGTTTTCTGTGACTTGGCTGGTGTGAATATTTGCTCATGCTATCAGTCACGGGTCTTTCTGGTCCAGAATCGATGTTAAGCAGGATTCTATGATATGTGTATAATGTCCAACAATGCGTCAATTAAACTACAAACAGGTAAATACAACTTGACCTAATGATCTATACTTGGTTGCAACGCTATATTTCAGGTTCCCTTAAATTGAAAACAGAATGGCCTAGTTTCACCCGGGTGGCTCGACATTTAACACACAGATGTCACACAATAAACGACAAAATAATCCGCAGCTGGGTTTGTACCACCGGACTGTATACTGCGTGTGGACTTTGCACTGATGGAGGCCATTATCACATCTCTGATCTGGAGGAAATGTTTTATTGGGCATGGGCAACTGGCGGTTTGGGATCATGCTGTCCTCTCACTAATCTGTCTCACAGTCCCTTAACCAACATATTTTCCATTCCGAACAGCCCTTTCTGCAATGTAAAAGCCCTAAATGAAGTCAGCCTATAGATTATTTGAACGGCATTTAGATACGTGAATTTATGGATGCCAACTTCTTTATTTTAAGGAAGACGCTTTTTCAGCCTATAGATTTTCCCGTGAATCGCTCACTCGGTCTCGATTTAAATCAAAATGAAGCACTTTGTCTTTATCAAAATTATATACTTTCAGAGACAAGCGTTAGTCAACCCAGTCACAGATTTCTCAGTAGTCAATGAACCGTGCTTATACATTGACAGACACCGCATGAAACTGATTAAAATTGCTGGGCTATCAGAGTTCACTGGGGTTGTAAATGTACATATTCAAGCCTCATAGAGTAATGGAAACGGATCTAATTGTTCCATTATACAAATAGTGTATATAGCTAATGCAGTATTATATTTTTCGTTACCTTCCGAATGGGACATACCGGAAATTAAAAAAGTTTGCACCGGTAACGAGAAGTGACCTACATGTTCAGCATATGCAAGACTTAATGGTGCATAGTGTATGTACGCATCGATACTGAAAACGTACCTATTATAACTACAACTATGTATTCAAGCGGTACAGTACTAATTACTACATATAACAGATGTGTGACCTCTTCCGTGGTGTAGTGGTTAGAGCGTCCGCCCGGAGTGCGGAAGGTCGCGGGTTCGATCCCCGACCGCGTCATACCAAAAGACGTTAAAATATGGTACTTGTTGGTCCCTGCCTGGCGCTCGGCATTAATGGGTACAACAAGGACTGGTCGGCTCGGAGTCAGTGTAATGTGTCTGAGTGGGGTATTCATGCTTCACTGCGGCATGGTATCTCAGTGGGCTAGCACTATAAAACCAGCTTCAGTCTGGGCTAGTACAAGCAGCCGCACATACACATACACACGCATGCACGTCGTCATATGAGCGAAATATTCTCAAGCACGACGTTAAACCCACAGATGTGCGCAAGATCACACAATACAGTTATGTAAAGTGTTGGAGTTATAACAAACAATATCAGAAATATATAACATTTCGTTTCGTGAAAAATCTAGTTTGATATGTGAGGAGAGTGACTGAGTGAGTGAGAAAGACATGCTAAAAGTAAGCTGTGAATAACCGAATTAGTAGCCTATAGCCTCCTTATTTAACTACTGACAGAAATATTAGAACGGAGGGTTCGTTTATTTGACTTATATAGTATTCCAAGAAATTATTGAGAAAGTTGTTTCGGCAAATATCTAATACATGTATATAAACTATAGAAGTATTACTTAGGGACCGTTCATAATTTATGGCTTGGTGTGTGTGGGTGTGTGTGTGTGTGTGTGTGTGTGTGTTAAGATGATTTTAATGGGGGTCACCCATTTTGTTCTGGTATGAGGTGGGGGTCATCAATTTTGTACACATGGTACTAGGGGGTCATCAATTTTGTACACAACATTATTAAAAAATTATGCTTAAAAAATATGGGAAAGGGAGGGGGGATTTTGTACATGACATGCAGGGGGTCACTTAATTTGTACATAGATTTTAGGGGGGGTCACTCACATTGTTCATGCTTCTCCATAAAAATCATCATCACCCCCCCTAGCAATAAATTATGAACGGTCCCTTATAGTCTGTTTGCAGTGAAAACGTACCGATGAATTTCACTTTAAACAAAAATGTAAATCAAATAAAGCGAAATTAAGATTGCGAATCCTCTTAATTTTTCTTTTCAATAGGACTTCCTCTATTAATCATCTCATTTTTGATATTCTCAACGCTTTTCAGATTTCCCCTACTCACAATCTGACCAACTCGCCGGCGATTACTTACTGAACATCCTTGGCCTCCCACTCAATATGGAAAGCAACTCTTACAGGCTTAAGAATGAACCTTAATATCAAGAGTTATCTCCCCTGGTATAGCAGACGGCTTCCTTTGTTGACACGGCAGATTTGACAGCAGAAGAGAAAAGGAAGCTGGTAAAAATGTTAAAGTACCGCTAACTGTATATTTTCGTACTTAACAGTGAAAAGGTAAAAATCTGACAGGAAATTTGAGAAATTGATATCCTGTATATTATATAACTTGTAACCATGACTGCCGTTTTGAACTGTTTTCTTTGCATCATAGCGGCGGTGGGGGTAGCCTAGTGGTTAAAACGTTCGCTCGTCACGTCGAAGACTCGGGATCGAATCCCCCCCGCATGGGCACAATGTGTGAAGCCCATTTCCGGTGTCCCCAGTCGTGATATTGCTGGAATATTGTTAAAAGCGGCGTAAAGCAAAAGTCACTCACTCTTTGCATTATATGACGCAGTACTGTAGAAACATTCTCTGTAAGTATTGAGAGTGCCTGGGATAGCTCCTGAGATAACTATCAAAATAGAAAACGCAATGTGTAGGTAGGGCCTTTATATAAAAGATGGATAAAAGTCTGGAAATGTGAAAATGAAGAAGGGATGGTGTACGTTACAATACAGGTACAATGTGTTGAAACAGACATAACGTATTCACATGCCCACATTAATAGTTCGATCACGTTTCTGACGCTTTGAAGTGTTGGACACCCAAGTCAACCCAGTCACGCGGACCGGTGATACCGTTGTTGTTGTTGTTGGCGTTGCTATCTGGACCAGATGTAATCACTCCGAGGTGAATACCCCTTATATGGAGACATGTGCTCAAAGGTGTGTGTGATTCCTGTCCCCAGTCGTGCTCCATGCGACATGGTAATGTGTCGATCTTAACTTCTTTCAGGACAGGTATATTTTCCAGCCTGTCTCGCAGTCCCAAAATCACACTATTTTCCCTTCCACCCTCCCTGCAGTGTAAGAAGCACTGAATTCAGCAAGTCTAGATTTTCCTAGGTTCTGGAAAGTTCTAAAGGGAGACTGGAGACATGTTACACAAAGCTATTGTGGTGCTAAGTTGATCATAACCCTGATACTTAATTACGACAGCCTACAATCAATGACTCTGTAGAACTGGTAGGGACAACTGGAGCTCTCTGTCTAAACCTGTTTTGGAATATTTATACTATTACCCAAAAACTAATTCAAAGTACATTTTGAAAGTCATATGGTGGTGTGAGGAACGTTACTTAACTTCACCTGATTTGTGACACAACGTTCCTCACAGAGAGTCCTTGGATTGGTGACCTGCTTGGCATCTTGACTCCTGTGTGTTTCTGGGACTTCTGTCCTGCCCCACAACAAGCAAATTATGTGACACATTTGGTTTCACATTGGGCAAGTGAGTTTGTTCAAAGTTGCCTCTGTTCAGTCAGCAGTGAATTGGTACCAGGTAGCACTGGCTAAAATTTGCAGGCTATCCATGTAACTGTACATTTACTTGTGTTAAAAGGGCTAAATTTGAGGTATCAATTGAAAATTTGATATTTCATTCTGACCATTTAGAATCAAGAATTATTCAGTATCACTGCAAATACAACATTGGCCTGTATAATTGAATCTGCATCAACCACTAGCTGAATCATGAGCAATGTTTCAAGAATGCTGACATCAGTAAGCCAGGGTTTACTTGCAGAAAGTGATCATGGTGCACCTCCTTTCTTGAGTTTATGCTAAGTGTAGGATTTACTTGGAAGCAAGAGCTACGTTTTTGTGCAAGAGGGTCTATGGTCATACAGCCTGATGCCTTGATCCATAATTTCTTTTGTGAGTGAGTTGAGTTTTGCGCCACTTTTAGAAATATTCCAGCAATATCACAGCATGGGACACCAGAAGTGGGCTTCACCCATTGTACCCATGTGTGGAATCGAACCCAGCTCTTCTGCATGACAAGCAAACACTTTAACCACTAGGCTACTCCACTGCCCCTTAATTTCTATAGTTTCACATGGTCAGTCATATAACTGTAACATAAGCAGTTACATTCATTGACATGAAAGGAACCTAGCAGGAACCTAGCAGGAACTTAGCCTTCAGAGTGAGTTAGTTTAACACTTTGAAGGGTATTCACATCATATCACTGCCTGGAACCTGGGTTAGAATTGTTCTTGAGAAACCCATGCTTGTTCAAAGAAGAGACCACAGGATTGGTTGGTCATGCTCTCTGATTTGGTTGATGTCATGGTATCCCAATTGTGTAGATCATTGTTCATGTCAATTACTATGTTGTCTGATTAAGATGCGAGTACTTACAGATGACATTCATACAGCTGGAACATGGATGATCGTGGCGTTAAACAACAAACAAAATGTATGTAACATGGGAGAATAGCCCACAACAATCCATGTTGGACTCCATCAGCTCGACAGCAATTCTCCAGGAACATGGAAACATCATAGTTGATGTCATTTGTCCGATGCATTTCCTGATTTTAGTACAAAATAAGTCAATGAGACTTCTAATTATCAATGAAAACAAAAAGGACAATATTTCTGCATGTTTAATACAAAATTATTAGAAGCAAAATAAATTCACACAGAGCATTAAATTTAAATAGAAATGTTAAAACTGAAACTAATGACCTGGATGAGAAAACACAATCAGCCTGAGACGCCATTATGGTCACCACAACCTGAATGAAACTGACATGTCACGCCTATCACTAGCACTGCAGGCAATCTGATTATAAATGGTAATTTTTTCCATGTCAATAACCTTTAATGCACACTTAATAAATAAAGCATAGTTAAATGTTCTTGTGTAAAGAAAGCATGTCATTTGATCACATCAAAATTCTATATCTTGATAAACATACAAAAGGTTTTCAAATGCATTCAAATGCAAATTATGTAAAAGTGACATAAATATATACATGAGTGGTACAAACAAATGAAATACGAAGTATTGCTCAGCTTTGAAATTGGTTTGCAGCAGTACACATTCCTTATCTGTTAAACAACAAATGTTCAAAATCAACATATGTACATGAAATATATCCATGTGTCAACATCATTATTGATATAGGGTTGGTAGGTGAGACCAGGTTTCAGAATATATTGATTGATATAGTTATTTTTCCCTTACTCTTCTTCCTTGCAAAGTAACCAAGCACACAGCTATATTCCTTATTTAAAGATAATTCGTACCCAAAATGTAGCAAAACTAGAAGCAAATAAAGAATGATTTGAGCTTTTTTTGTTTGAAATATTTATGAACTGAGCCTCAAATCAAAGAGGACATTTTCAAAAAATTTTAGATTGAGGCCAAATAAAAAAATGTTGTGGTTCCGATTACACCTCTTTAAAATTACGGGTAGGCAGGTAATTTTTAGAAGTACAAACTAATAACACTTTTATCAATGTGTATGTGTTTATTCAATCGAGCTTGAGGCCATCATGTTGACTTTCTCTGACAGAATGACCAATGTCCGTCAGTGCTGGGAAAAAATAATGGAAACTGGACGCTTCTTTTATTCATACCCCTTAAAAAAATAATAGGGTCAGTCGGGTAATCGGAACCACAACCTTTTTTTTTAGGCCTGAACTCCTACCATTTGACATTTGACCAATTAGCAATGATCAGTACATGACCAGTACACTGGTCTGGGCATATAGTTTTTTTGACAGCAGACTGTAAATATTCGACTATGGAACTTTTATCTTTTGAAATACTTGATTGGACTGAAGATGTTTCTTGTAAATAATGCAAAAGTTGCAATTTAAATGTCATGTTAAAAGTTTATCTGTAGCTTTGTTCTGTGGATAATGTCCACAGTATTTATGGCTGTGAAGATAGTCCTGCAAATATTAAGCGTAAGTATCTCTGCCATCAGTGCTGGAAGACAGATCTGTGTACAGTATAGAGTAACAAGGTAGTGTTGATTAAGTCTACATAAACTTATACACTGTTACCACCCGGATGACACTGTATATCGCTAACTCTGCACAACCTTCATGCATGATATACACCTGGCTGACAAACTGTATATCTGTAACTCTGCACAACCTACATGCATGATATACACCTGGCTGACAAACTGTATATCTTTAATTCTGCACAACCTACATGCATGATATACACCTGGCTGACAAACTGTATATCGTTAATTCTGCACAACCTACATACATGATATACACCTGGCTGACAAACTGTATATCGTTAATTCTGCACAACCTTCATACATGATATACACCTGGCTGACAAACTGTATATCTGTAACTCTGCACAACCTTCATGCATGATATACACATGGAAAACACACTGTATATCTGTAACCCTAACACAACCTACAAGCATGATATACACATGGATAACACACTGTATATTGGTACCCCCGACACAACTTACAAGCATGATATACACATGGATAACACACTGTATATTGGTACCCCCGACACAACTTACAAGCATGATATACACATGGATAACACACTGTATATCGGTACCCCTGACACAACCTACAAACAGGAGCTAAAATTTCACAACACATCAACATTGTTTCAACAACCCAACATGGACTTAATAGACCAGGGCTGATACTGGATGAAGCAACACGACTGTACACAGCTCAAGTGCGCAGAAGTAAAATTTCTAAAATATCCTGTGTAAACATATCTGAAAAATATGACGTTTGCTAGAAGATACACACGAACCCAAACACAATCATTATTTCTCAAAAAGCTTCTGCATTACAGGATGATATCCAGGGTTCTATCTCAATTGTCCTGGATGTGAATAGACATGGCCATTTATCGTCCTTAGCTTGAAGAAAACGTAGGTTGCCTGCACGGACCATGTTTTGTAACTAACAGAAATCTGTCAACATTTAAAACAGTTGGCACCCTTTTTGTGTTCCGAAACATTCTAGCCACAATCAATATATGATTTTAGTAAAATATATTTTATAAGACTATACTATAAAAGCAATATGCAAGACCTTTGTTCAAAATTTTGATGACCCAAAATTACTAATGTCAATTGAAAAAGTGAAAAAATACATTAAGAAAATCATCTTTTTCCAGAATTATCATGGTATCACCTGCACATATATCGATGTCAGCATCTACATTTTCAAAAAGAAAACTAAATCATGTACATCATATTGTATTCAATTGAAGAGGCACAGATTACATTATATGGCTGAAAAATGGGTATTATTGTAAAATAAAACAATGTTAAAAACCACATTTCGAGGTAGTTATACTGTAAATAGAAGATCCTGTAGTTGGTGTATCACATGATCAAAATCATGATCAGACAATATTTACGATATATGTACAAATATGGACAACTGATTCTATGACAGTGTTCAGTTGATAAATGTCATTGGTTATTTAAATAATTTAACAAATCAATTTCAAAATGCTTGTGGAGGCTGCTTGCCCTATTCACATACAGATTTGGTCTGCTGATTTACCCTCTCAATAGACAGACAGTGCTTAAAAATGTACAGAAAAACACCACAGCTGTAGCGACATTTAGCATTAAAAAAGGGAGATTACTCAAGATTATCAGTGTGTGTAAAAATGGCTGCCTTTACTTCAAGCTGAACCTAAAGATGCAATGGACCTGAGTCATATTGTAAGAGAATCTTGGAACTGATCGGGAGTGGACAGCAACAGAATACCCTGAAGAAATAGAGGATGCTCCCAATTATAGTTTTCCAAACTTGTAAATGACCAATAATGACAGTCCATTGTAATTTCAAATAAAGTACGAATCGATGCAGATTCCTAGCTAGTTCTTCCAATTTGGAAGTACATGTACATTCAAAATCAGCATAGTATATAAATATAGCTGCAAAGAAAAAGTAATTGACTAAACATATTTTGCAGCCATCATCAAACACTGTAAAGACGTATAAAATCATTAGTGAACACTGGAGGTGAAGATAGTAAAGGGGTCAGTATATTCATTGCTGAGATTGTGGAGGACAGAGGTCTAGCACATCCACTAAACCTCATAAAGTGGAGAAAAGAAAGAATGGGAATGGCTACAATTGTCTCTGAATATGTGCTGAAATAATTCTACATACACTTACTTAAACCTTCATTTCACTGTAAGTTTTAGAATTGTTATTCTAAAAGGTGCAATATTAACTTTGCAAATTGATAAATTTCTTGTTAAGTTCTATTTGGTATTAGGAAAGAAACAAATATATGTGAAATATTACTCCCACTTCAAAGGGAGAAAGCAAAATTAAAACATCCTTGTTCTTTTAATATGGACTTGACAGAATGGATGAGTCCCAGAGTCTAAACATCAAGCTACAATTCAAAACCAGCCAATAAATATATACTCTATCCAAAACTCCAATGCCTGACATATTGTCACAAAACATTATGAAGCTAGGATAGCACGCTTTGGTATCTGACATCAAACACACAGCACTAAACGAGAAACCAACTTAACCATATTAATAAATCTTTAAAAATTCTGTCTGTAGACAACTACTTATTACTAAATATACAAAAACACATATACTGTAGAAAAATATTTGCAAATTCAATCTAGTACCTTTAGGCAAAAATATGTGAATGCACCATGTAGACTGTGGGCTACAGAATGACAATACAATTACTGGAAGTCACCTATCCCACTTAGATATTTAAAGATATTTTTCCAATCAAAACTATTGCCACCTGACTTAAGTCATGTACAGTAAATAACATTGTTATCATCTGTGAAATGAAGTTCATCCAGCTCAATATGAAGCATAGATCACCCACTTGGAAGGAAGACCCTGAAAGAGACACATATACAATCTGACTGTCCAGAATTGTAGTTGTGGTCTACGTAGAAAACTGCTGCAGTTTCCATGACGATTATTCCTGTTTCTTGAGTTTGACCATCTCCTCACTGATGTGCCACAGTCTCTCAGCATCATCAGCATCCATAGCATGGGGCAGCAGGTCACAGATCCGACTGTCACTGCAACATGTGGATAAAAGTGAGTGAATGGGTTGAGTTTTACACTGCTTTAAGCAATATTATGGCAATATCATGACGGGGACACCAGAAACGGGCTTCACAAATGTGGGGAATCAAACCTATTTCGAAAGCAAATGCCTTAATCACTAGGCTACCCCACTGCCCCAATGGGATATGGACCTTTCAGTGATAATCAGGCCCTGCTTGTTTGGTATTTAGTGATAATTTTACTTAAATCAGGCCCTGCTTGTACCAGACCTACATTGTTTAAAGGTCACATGCAACGTAAAACACAACTTTGCAGATTCTGATACCTTTCAGTATGGACTTACCGAAACAAATCATCAAAAATGCAAATTCAACTTATAAAGTTGAAAAATAATGAGATGAAAAAAAATGTGCGAAACTGGTTTCAACAGCTGGGCTGCGCTCATAGCACGTGCGCAGTGAAATAGGTTCGCGCAACTTGGAAGTGGGCTGTCCTGTGAATACTCGGTGAAGGCTTTGGTGTGAGCTATTTTCCTAATGTTTTGTTGATATCTCACAGGCGCGAGCTTTTTATATGTTATGACAGTAAATAAACTGTTTATATAATTTCATTTGTCTATTTCACCACACGTTCTTCTTACCGAGTCACTTTCTCAGTTCGATACTTAAAAGCAATGTCATTATTTAGCGTTGACAGAATTTCTAACTGTGATATAGATATGTCGTTGTCACAGACAAAACTCAATGTCTTGTTTTATTGACACCTGTGTGTCTGCCTGCCTGTCTGCTAATGACAATATTCAATACACAACTTCGATCACTGACCACATGCAATTTGAACTTAACACCAATCAGGCTATACACCATAAACAAAACGCATTGATTTATGGCCGAGTTCGGTCTCTGTCACATTATGTAATTACACAGACAGGCAGGTGTGATACTTGAACACATGACATGTTATGATGTCTGTTGATTTCAAAATGTTATACACAAAAAATGAGCATGTATTTACAAAACCCAACATCTCTATATATACACACACAATGAGCCGTGAGGGCATCTGCAAATGAACCAGCCGTTACACTTGAGTGCACACCAACCCGCTCTGACTGGGTTCGGTATCCCGGCTGCTTCGTTTCTTGGGAAGTAAACCCAAAGTACACAATATTGCACTTTTGATTTGTGATTATGCGGCTTATAATTTTGTTTATATGTTTTTTCATAACCAGCAATGTATATTATATGTCATGAATAAGTGATAATTGTGTTTTAATTATGTTTGATATTTTGGTTGCATGTGACCTTTAACGACTCTATATATTACTTATGTTTCTTTAGTCAATGGCAGCAATAACATAGGTTGTTGAAACCTATCATTAACTAAAGATGCTTTATGAGTAAGAATCTCAATAGTGTGTACATAAATTAGGGGATTCCCCATCATTTTTCATAAATTTCTGTTTGAGGAAAATGTAATTTTGTGACTAAAATTGATATTTTATACTTATCCTGACTCATGCTAATTATGCTTGTCTCCTTCCTCTTGCGAATGATAGTGGAACACTTGAAATCCCTTGAAGTTCCCTTTAAAAAAGCGGACGTAAAATCACTCACCCAAGAGTAGCGTCCCTTTCCTCCCTTTGGCGCCCAAATGGTCACATGATCGGCAATATTTGTCACTCTCTCCGTATGTAAGCCCGACACCCGGATTTACAGGGAAATCCAGAGTGCCATAAGAGGGGAGGTTGGGAGGGCTAACCTCATGAGTCAGGATAAGTATAAAATATCAATTTTAGTCACAAAATTACATTGTCCTTATCCTGACTCATGCTAATTATGCTTGCAGAATCCGTTGGAAACGGTGGTGGGTCAAGCCACGTTCTGGATTCCCTGGTTGTAGATTTACGTCTTGTATTACCCCCCTTGGGAACTTATGACGGCACTGTTGAAGATTCTTTCAACTTCTCTCTGATGAGTCTGGGGGGACCACAACTTGTCAGATTTCTGTTATAGGGACTAATTCAGGACAGCCATCGTCCAAATATTTATAAAGTAAAAAAACTACGTAGTCAAGACATGTGAGACTTTATGGTAATTATTTATATGACGCTAATCTGTATTCTATGTAATCCTTATCACTTCCGCATTGTACATTGACTTGTGAAGCAATTAATTACTGTATATGACATTTATAACCTTTATTGGTCATCCCCCTTGGCCGTACGAGTGTCTGCCATCATATCAACTAGTCAAGGAAGTGCTATTGTCTTTCTATCTGTCAATTGTTGAGTCATCGCCTGTCCATTGTTGTCAAAAACTGTATATATACTTAGTATGCTCACATCTAGACTGGGAAGGAGTACAAGTCTTAATTCCAACTCTCTGTGTAGGGATGTCCACGAGCGGGATAATGCTGCTCGTCGAGGAAGCTTCCCTGGGGTTGAGCAGGTACTCCGCTCACCTCGTTTTATGTCTTGTGTATTTGTTTGTCATGTAACTAAAGAAGCTTGAACTCAACTATGCCTTCATCTTTGTCAACGTATTGTACATACACTTCATCTTAAACATGAGCTAATTCCCCAGTCGACGCATATAACCATAGCGTTGACATTTCTTCGAAACTTCTCCTGACATTTTAGGTGGGGATTTAGATATACTAATATTCCATTAGTTATCTATTGTAACTCCATCTCTTGATGCAGCATCAAGTGGAGATCACGACCCTTCTTCATGTATGATGCGTCCTATACAAATTACAGGGTCTATCACTCATGCTAGTCTGTCCTAGGCGTGTGCATGGACTTTAACCATTGCTCTCCAGGCGTTGGTTTTCACAGAGTCGCGTGATAAAAGGGTGAGATTTTCTCAAGCCTTTGTGGAACCGTTAGTTGTTGTGCTACAACAAGTGGTCCAAACTGGTGAATGCCTGAGACCTCTTCAGTGGTAATGTCTCTGAGATAGTGGTTAAGCAAACACCGTGTTCGATCTCAAAAAGCAGCCCTCCATTATAGTTGTAATCGAGCAGTTTCCATGCAGAGCAAGTGTTGACGCCAGGGCTCTGACTTCATGTGGATTGTGAGATTAGAGTGGAGGCTCAAGTCCTGCTGCTTTATAGGCCCTTAGTATAGCGGCTCTCATCCAGATCGATATTGTTGTCCTAGAGACTTCCGTGGGCATCTCAGTGGAGAAAGGGGATGAACAGAGGCTTGAATTTACCCGTCTCCTTGTTTTAGTTCTTTGTAAGTAGACTTTAAGTGCTCTGACTGGGCATAAGGATAGATCCTGCGTATCCTGTGGCCCAAGGACTGTAGATAGTGCTGGGATGTGGAACTGTCTGTCAGGCTGACCAGGCAGTTGGGTTTTGATGATAAAATCCATCTCAGTCCCAGATGTGCGATGTCACAATGTCACCGATTCAAATCGTGTTCGTTTAAAGTCCAGAGCATGTATTCTGACATCCTTACAGCTGTTGCTAGGGCGATCAGGAACAGCGTTTTCTGAGTTAGTAGTTCAAAGGATGTCCGTTCTAGAGGCTCGTAGGCATCACTGGTGAGATGTTGTAAAACCATGTTGAGATCCCAGGCAGGAGCCTTAAATTTCTTTTGTTGGTCTTCCAACTTGAGAGCGTAGTAGTGCCAGAATCTCTGGTACTTTGGTAAGCTTGATACCCGTTTTCATGGTGATAACTGCACTGAGGGCAGGTAAAGAATGCGTTGAGTGTTGAACCTTTTAAGTGTCTGCGTCTGTCGTAGATGACATAAGTATTCCACCACTTGAGGGATGTGTTGCTTTGATGCAGCTATAAAGCCTTTCCTCTCTGCATATTGTTCAAACCTCTGCCACTTGTGGAGTGAGTACAGGTTGCGAGTTGATCTCGCGTGAGAGCTAGTGTTACTGCTTTAAGCTGCTCTGGCGAGTACCCTCTAGACTTCAGGCAAGCTTTAATCACGGCTCCACAGCGTGTAGCTGGAAAAAGTGTCGGGTTTCCGTGAGCTTGCTGGGTGTGGGGATGGGCCAGTAGGTTCGACCACTCTGGTAGTTTCAGGTTGGACGTCCGAGTTCTTGTATGAGGGGACGGAAACCATACCCTCGCTTCAGCCAGTCGTCTACTTGATTTTCTGTAGTACTTGTGGTAGTAGTGCAGGGGCGGAAGCAGCGTTTAGTCCTTCCCATGAGATGCTTAGAGCATCTGTTGCTTATGACTGAGGATCTGGAATCGGTGAGGCGAATGTTGGTAGCTGTTTGTTGAACTTTGTTGCAAACAGGTCTATTAGTAAAGGGATCCTAAAAGTCTGTCTGAGGAACTGGAATGCTTCTGGATGCAACATTCATTCCGTTGCGGATGGTTGTAGTGAACTGACATGGAAGCGTCTGCTATGACATTCTTTGCTCCTGGAATGTGGCATGCCTTCATGTAGATGTTCAGCTGCGTCGACTATGCTGAACAGGAGAAAGCTGAGTTGTAGCAGACTTCTTGATCTTGACCCTTGTTTGTTGATGGAAAGCGCCACTGTGGAGTTGTCCGTGTGTACCATGAGTCGATGCGTTCTTTGAATGCAGCTGGACCAATGTTGTAAAAGCGTTGATTACTGCTTTCATCTCCAACAGATTGATGTGTGACTTCTGATCCTGACTTCGACCACTTCCCTGCTGCCACTTTTGTTGTTGAAGTGCGCACCCCATCCTGTAGGGAGGCATCCATGTAGAGATGAGTGTTGCAAACCGGCTCTGACAAAAAGTCCCACATAAGCGTTAGACTTCGAGTCCACCATAGGAGATATGGTTTCAGGCTGTCGGTAGTATTAGCGGATCAAGGCTGTCTAGGTGAAGCGTTCACAAATACTTGTAGTAGAGCAACTGTAATCTCCATCTGCGAGTCATGTCTTGAGCTGAGGGTGAGTAGACCGAGCATGCTTTGCCAAACACATAGTGTCAATGGAGAGAGCAATGCTTGAGATATCATCTGTTGTATTTTGACCAGCGATCCTCTGGAGCGACTATCACGATTCACTGGTGTGATGAGCGAATTCCCTAGGAATTGCAGATCTTGTTTGGCTCCAGTTCCGACTTGAGGAGATTCACTAGCCATCCTAGTTGGTGAGCAGCCTGATGGTGAAGTCTAGATGCAGTCTGAGTAGACTGGGATCTTGATGAGCTTGAATCACGTCGTCCAGGTAGAAAGCACTCGTGAGACCTCAATGATGTAGATGTGTGGCGATGGGCTTGGTCACTTTCGAGTAAACAACCAGGGGGCGGCGATATTCTAAGCGGTAGAACCTTGTAGATCTATGCTGGCGAGTTAGTCTGCAGGACAAGCGAGATGTCGGAACTGAGGAAGATGTATCATCTTGAATTTTGCTGGTCTGCATAGATACTCGGTTGAACTTCCTCATGTTGTAGATGAGCGAAATTTCTCCTTGGAATTCTTCTAACCGGTACCAGGAAAATTAGGGAGTAGAACCCAGGCGTGATGAGATCTTGATCTATCTCTTCTACTGCCTCTTTGTCAGTAGGGTCTTGATAGCATCGTCCAGTTTCTCTATCTGGTGGAAACTGCGTAGTTGAAGGCCATCGGGTTGCTTGTGGCGGAGTGGCTTCCAATTGTATCTTGTACCCGCTGCGCAGTATCTGGGATACATAGTCGTCCTGCAGTATCCCCAATTCTCCCAGTACCGTTGAAGGCGTCCACCCACTGTCGAAGGTTGTACAGGAAAGGCTGGGGTGGAAGACTCCAGTCGTTCGAACCTGGCCTTCAATGCTTGCTTCCTCTTGCACCCCTGGGTGCTTCGGATTCTTCGGGGTTACCTCTAGGAACTCGGTTAGGCGTGAAAGGAGCCTCTTCCTCCTTTCATACTAGAAACTTCTTTTCTCTGGCTCTCTCGACTCCTGCAAACTTAGATTTATTGGAGTAGCGTTGGGGCGTCTGACGAATCACATTAGCCAAGGTGTGGATGGATTTAATCATCATAACTTCCCTAGAGTCATGAGAGACTTCTCTGCGACTTCTTCAATTCCTCCTCGAAGATGTATGATGACCATGGGGCTCTGTATAGAGACTTGGTGAAGCGTTCACTCAAGTGCATGCTGACAATAACCCTTGTCTTCTCAGGAGAGTCAAGCAAGCCAGCTTTGAAGTGGATGCTAGGTGCTCCGACATAAATTGATGGTCTCTCTTCTGCATAAGTGGGCCGGAGTATATCATCCGGTCTTCTTAGGCCGAGAAATCTTGAACCGAGATGAGTGTTACCGTTGATAGCCCTCGATCTGGCTAATCGAAGAAATGCGTCTGGTGGTTGTATCCAGCAGTGCTAACTTCTTATCCTCAATCTTGTAAGTTCTTTGGCGGGAGTTGGTGATAATCTTATAGCCATCATCAACCTCTGGAGCCTTCAGGAAGGGTTCCATCCTATGTAGAGAATTTCCTGGCATTGAATGTTGGGATGTGCTGACTCTGGGACTTGGTGGCTTTATCAAAAGCTGCATTGAGGTTGTCTGGTACTTGAGAGATTGGGTTGTTGGTGGAAAGGTGAGTGTGTCGAGAAATCATCTTTGGACATCTTCTGTGTCCTTAGAAAGGTGATGATAAGTCCAAGCCATTGGCGATCAGGAGTTAATTTCGTGTCGGAGAAGACCCCTTCACCTTCATCCTCTGATTTAGAGCATCTCTAAAGCTCTAAGGATGCCACGGCGACTTGAGTCTCAATACGATCTATAAGATGAGCTTAAGCTCTGGCGATCAATTCGATGTGATCTTGAATCCTTCCTGGAGGTTTGAGATTTTTTCTCTAGACCTAGCGTGAAGGTGGATTCCTGGACATCACTTTTGAATACCTACGTACCCAGTCCTTATTGCGTCTATGGATAGAAAAAAAAGGTAATTATTTAATTCAACGCATTTAATTTTACACAATACCTGGCGAGGGCTAAAAGAACATGAAACAGTGCAATTAGGACATAATAAATAGGGTCGGCCCATGACGCACTCGCTTCTGGTTCAGCGAATACAAGTTTTCATCAATTGTATGGCCTCGGCGTTCCTAGTACATCGAAACATGAAAAAACCACATGTCAAACAACGGAAAATTTAGAACAAGTTTCAAACCGTAATGTAGAATATAATCCTAAAAACCAGGTATCACGGCAATAATTTTGATGTAAAGGTCTGAAAATATATAAGGATATGTGCCATTATAGGGACAGAGTGCTCTCACAACTGTCCTCAAGAGCTGAAGAAGGAGAGTGACAAATATGGCCGATCATGTATGACCATTTGGTAAGCCAAAGGGAGGAAAGGGATGCTACTCTTGGGTGAGTGATTTTACGTCCAGCTTTTTAAAGGGAACTTCAAAGGGAATTCAAAGTTTTCCACTATCATTAGCAAAGAGGAAGGAGACAAGCATAATTAGCATGAGTCAGGATAAGGAAAAATAACTCACTTTCCTCTTCTTGTCATGCACCAAATGAAACTACATGCTCATGCATCACTCAACTCGTATGGAAAGTCTCAATTGCTAGTTGCCATCTCCTGACTCTCTCTGTATATATACTAACAAAATACACTTACCCGGTATGCAGTATTACCCACCTGGAAACAATGTGTGAATCCTATATCTAGTCACCTCTTCCAGGATATTGCTGGACTATTGCTAAAAACAGCATAAAACTATCTTCACCCACTATTCATTATTCACAGGGGTGAAGTTGCCAGTCAGTTAAAGCATTTGCTTGTCACTCCGGAAGTTTCAATTCCCTACCTGAGTACAATGTAGTGTCTTCTGCCATAACATGATACATAAAACCATACTTACTCACTCATTGAATTAATATTCAGCAATAAATAGGCGTTATCATTAAAATGTTTTATCTTCTTACGAGAGAAACTTTCCCGAGACATTCTCCATCTCTGGGGCCACAGCACAGTACACAGTTGTGCGAGCTCCTTGTAGGGGTGTGTTGGCAAAGAGGTAGTACAGAGCTTGACCAACGGTGCCTAAGAGGAACTTGACAAGCCAGTTGAAGTCAATCTGGGTGACGTTGCGTCCGATCTCTGTGTACACCACCCCTGGATGCAGACAGTTGACTGTCACGCCACTACCTGAAAGGAAACACGGGACAAGGGTAACTTGACAAATATGCTGCAAATTTCACAGCAGCATGTTTGATTTCCTTTTAAATTGAAAAGGAGCACCAGCGAGATGAGAGATTCAGAACCTGAGGAAAATCTAGATTTGCTTCATTTAGGGTTTAAGCACTGCAGAAAGGGCTAGGCAGAAAGGAAATAATAATGCGGTTCAGGGACCGTGAGAGAACTACATGTTTGGAGTTTTCTTCTCTTAGTACTTGAATGAAAACTACTTCACTGCGTGGTAAGAAATATTTGACAACCATTATTCCATACAATATAAGGATAAAATATACTTTCTAAACAAACAAGTACCAGTATTTGTCTATAACACTCTAAATCTGATGTACAGTCAGCAGGATTCACATGTGAAATAGGAAACAGTCTAATTTTAGGGACTTAAATATATTTCTAAAAAAGAAATTTTATTTAAAACAACATACTGATAAACAATGATGGAAGGGTATTTAATGCATTTAATGTATTAAAATCTTATGAATACAAATCACTACAGCTGTACAGAATAGGAATGCTTTATTACTTGAACTGAAATCAGAGCAGCCACCAGCTTAGACTAACAGCTAGTCTCTCTGAAATGAACACATTTTACTGAAAAAAGTTCATAGTAAAAATAATAATAATAATAATGAAAGGAGCCCTGAGGACTTTCTTCATTGTCAGAAGCTGAAATCTAGACTTGCCACATTTTTCTAGACTTTGCGTGGGCTTTCTTGGATATATTTACTTCAGACTACTACCAGCTGATTACTAGCTTGTATAGAAGGATAATTACAGATCAGAAAGTGGTCAGAGAGTGTCCAGGAACAATCCCACATGGCAGACAAATAGTGCTTTGTGTGAAGGGGTTTCTTGGTGGCTTGATGGCAGACCTGCCTAGTGGATCGCAAGCCTTGAACTCACACCAGTGACTAAATCAAGTACTCTCAGGTTACAGGTTACAGACTACAAACCCAGCTCTAACAGTTTGATATCTCCATTATAATTGGTCTTCAGCAACCAATGCTTGTCATAAGAGGTGACTAAAGGGGATCACACACATGGTTGAGGCATATCATTGTTCGATGTTCATGATGTCAATCACTGGGCTATCTGGTCCAAACTCGATTATTGACAGGTTGCTGTCATAAAGCCGGAAAATCGCTGAGTGTGGCATATATAAAAGAAAAAAAATCACCTCATACAACTGGCATTGGTTGCTGTGGACCAATAATCACTTTAACATGAAATCCCTACAGGCTTGGTAGACTTATAAGTATGAAGTACATATATATGATCACAAGCACCCTACCATGATCAGCTGGGACAGCTTACCTCGAAGTCTGTTGCTCAGTTCCCTGGTAAACAACACATTGGCCAGCTTGGTTTTGGCATACACATCAAATGCTTTGTATTCCTTCTTACTGTTGATGTCATCAAAATTTATTCTTCCACTGTAAATACAAATGAGTGTTGTTGTTTTATGTTCCATATTTTAAGATAGCATGTGTCATGAGGCTACAATGACCTAGTAATGCCATGACTCACTATCTCATTTATGTAGATTGATGCTCATGATGTTGATCACTGGATTGTCTGGTCCAGACACGATTATTGACAGTTGGAATATTGCTGAGTGCAACCAGCCCAACCATGACTCATTATCTGGATACATAGTCAAGGGGAGATAATCTGAAATACTAAGTGACAATGAAAGGTAGGGTTTAACAGTACAATCTGTAGTACATCACATGCAGTTATGCCAATTTAATAACATTAAGATGACGATGTGCCAGATACAAATAGTGATCAAACTTTGTCTCTTTTCTAGAAATTTTCTCCCCGCCCTACTGACTTACTTTCATAGCCTTTAGATGATACATTGATGATCCTACTGGGTGCTGACTTCTTCATCACATCCAACAGCAGGTTTGTGAGGAGGAAGTGGCGAGATAGTTCACTGCAAACTGCATCTCATAGCCATCCCTGGACTCCAGTCTTGGGCCTATTGCCACCCGCTAGACAACAGGAAAACAGATATGTTCATATCGCAACAAATATCTGTTTCAAAGAATTTTCTTGATCAAAGATGAGTTCAACCTTCTCTAGAGGCAGTGGGGGTAAAAGAGGACCCTGGTTCCAATCCCCACATTTCTGGTATCCCCCGGCCCGCTCCGCCTTGATATTGCTGGAATATTACTAAAAGCGGCATAAAATTAAATTCACTCACTCACTCAACCTTCTTTACAAATTAATGGTATAATCATGATGATTATATTAAAGATCACATATACTCTCAGGGGGTACAAATACATAAATCACTAACTGGCATCGCTATAAATGAAACCCCGTCATTAAAACTACTCACTTCGATCTTTAATTAACTTAAATCGACCTTTTTGACAACAGTGCACAATTCTCACCCATGAGCGAAATTTCAACCAATCAGGCATCTCTGTGGCGTCATATGAGGAATAGATATGAGGGCCGATGCAGAATTCATCTACATTTCAGTGGGTAAATTATCTTGTTTACAGGTTTGTATAAACCTGAAATCGTGACAATTGTTGTGGAAAATGAAAGCTATATGTTTTCACAATCTACTGTCATATAATTTTGTCTCCTGCTTTGCCTAGTTTCCGAGTTACAACTTGTTTTCATGGACGATTCTGTCAAAATCGCTTGGTGTCGTTAGGCCTTATTTGTATAATGACTGATCCAAACTGATCCCATTTCTTTTACCTCGATATTTAATCATGTCATGTAAAAAATATGGCGTCTATGCATTATGATATTAAAAATTGACATTTGATTTATTTGAATCGGCAAACTAAACAACCCTACTTTGCCATTGCTAGAAGAATCTGAAAATTTACTTAGGTAAATAGGTACATACAATTTTAGCACACAGCAAATGCTTATATGTATTTCTTATGCAACAATGAAGTTCTGTTTGTATTCTCAAAACAGTGTCGGCCCATACGGTTTCACATGCAATACAGCAATTAATATTCCCTTGTTGTAACCCGTGTTAGGTGGTATAAACCTACATGTTATTTGTCATCATTCACTTGATGGTCAGTTAATGAATTTATAACAGGTATAATTAGTGGTAACACACTTAGATTACCGACAAAGGTTCCCATTTGGCATTTCTTGTGTCTGGAGTAAATATTCAACATTATAAACATCGATCAAAGGATTAACCGATAACACACTGATTGATTAATTACTTTTATCTTACACAGCGGATTTGTCAGAAGGTAGTGTTTATGTATGTAGATTTACTAATCTATACTGAATACACTCTGTCGTGTCGGTGTCTGCACAAAAACAACGTCCTTCTTTCAAAGGATTAACCCGCAATACATTGATTAATTGCCCATTATTGGCTTACTAAATTACTGTTTTTTAAAGAAAGGCGGACATTATGCAATTAGTTGCCAGGTGTGCTATCTTGGGTGACCAATGAGACTATACACCAATGTGAAATACCTGAAAAGATTTATCACTTTTTCGTATATTAAACTGTTAAAAGACACATCGCTGGGAACAGCTGCAGATGAATGACATATCACTCGTTTTTGTGGATATTGATGGATACATTCCTCGAACAAGGTAATACCCTGACATTGTTCCTATAACTTTAATCTGTTTTAATTTTAATATTTGCATTTTGTTTTTATTCATTTTGTCGCGTCGTAGCATTGTTTTCGCCGTGAAGTGTAATGAGACAGACAACATACACTAGGGTGTGTGTGCGAGTTATGATTCACATTGGCAAACTATAAAATGTCTAGATATTACAGTTCTGTTATAAATTCACTATAAGTATCAGCAGATCGTCTGCTTTTTATTTAGTTTCAAAATGCATACAAGTATGATAATAAACTAATTAGGATTATAAGACCAAATATAAAGACGCACATTGACTAGTATCTACATACTGGTGAGTGGACGTTAACCATGTGAATGTAGTAAGAAATTTATCGCACAGTATTGTCACTTCAACTCCACCTTGCTTCCGTGGAAGAAATCGTTATGTTATAAGTTGTGTCATGCAAAATCCTTTTGGTTATGATTCCAATACATATTTAACTTCTGAGTAGAAAGTAGTTTTGATTTTTCTAACTTGATGAAAACAAACCATAATCTCATTAATTCTAACAGACTTTAGCCCGTCCTTTACGATTATAAAAAATGGCGGCGCCCTGTCGCGAACATCCGCCAGTCTGAGGATAAATGCTACTTAGGTTTGTTTTCACCGAGTTAAAAAATCAAAACTACTTTCTACTGGTAGTAAAATATGTATTTGATTGATGGCCAATAGGATTTTGCATGACATAGCTTATAACAAACAATTTCTCTCGTGGAAGCGAGGTTGGTGTCAATATAATACTACTTACAATATTATTGTCACTTCGACCACAACCTCGCTTCCGAGGAAGAAATCGTTATGTTACAAGTTGTGTCATGGAAAATCTTTATGGTCATCAATCATATACATATTTCACTACAACTAGTAAAATTCCGTGAAGCGATCTGAAAACAAATAAGATATCGTTTCAGGTTTCCACAACGCTAGATTCGCACTCACAAACATAACCCATTTAGCACGAACTGCGGAGTCCTGTGGAAATCTGTGCATGGTGACACCATCGCCCGACCCCAGGAGCAATTGACGACAAAGCAACGATTCGGCATGTCAAGAAATCATCAAAATGATGAGCGTGCTACACACTTTCTATACAACTAACTGAAAATCGTTCCTCATATGACGTCACTGCAGTGTTCTGGTGACAGAGTTACGTAACCTGTCTGTGGTTTCGTTGGCGGGCGAGAGTGAAGCAGGTGACTTTTGGCAACTTTTAATGCTTTCGGTATTAGTTAACCACAAGTTTTTAAGAATGAATTTGGTGTTTCGCATAAGTCTAACCACAAATCTTTCATATGTAATAGTTAAAGAGTACAAAAAAAACAAAGTTTATTTGTTCTTTAAGTACACTATTCAGGGGTACACAAAGTATGTGATCTTTATTACCAGTACTCAGATTTCCACTTTGTAAAAGCCATGGTGGGTATGCTTTCGTTGACTTTGTGTGCTGGCAAATAGTGGTGTGGATTCGAATCCTGGATATAAAAGTATCTAACAGTGTCTGAAAATGTCTGAAAACAGTGTCTGCAGTCTAATAGTTACTGAATGGGTTTGGGAAACACAGTGTCTAAAGAGGTCCAGAGTGTCTATGTTTAAAGGGTTTGTCGGCCAAAACAACGATTGGTTTGTATGGTGGAAGTAAGATGCAAGATGGAACTTCTTATTGAGCCAGTTATAGCAGAGTTAACTGAAATGAATGTCAAGTTGTTAGGACACAAGATGTGAGACAGAGTTTTGGGTTGAACCTGCATTGTTTATGAGGACATCCAACTTCTTCTCCTCCTGCAGGAAGCTGTCAACAAATGACCGAATAGACTTGAAGGAAGAGAGGTCCAGCAGTTTACAGGTGCCATTGTTCTGCCGACTCGCCACATGGATGTCCTTCAGAGCTGCAGCTCCCTTGACCACATCACGACATGCAATGATCACTCGGGCCCCTAGACAAGACAGATATTATCAGTAACTGCTTCCTGTATGCTCCCAACAGTGTTCTAAACACAGACAGAATCAAACTTCGATTATGAAAAACATAGACAGAGATATATTGCCATAGTATTTATAGCATTGTTGTTATGACACAAGGTTGGTGGATTACTATTGGGTGTTATGACACAAGGTTGGTGGACTACTATGGGGCATTATGACACAAGGTTGGTGGATTACTATGGAGTGTTATGACACAAGGTTGGTGGATTACTATGGGGCATTATGATACAAGGTTGGTGGATTACTATGGGGATGACACAAGGTTGGTGTTATGACACAAGGTTGGTGGATTACTATGGGGCATTATGACACAAGGTTGGTGGATTACTATGGAGTGTTATGACACAAGGTTGGTGGATTACTATGGGGCATTATGACACAAGGTTGGTGGATTACTATGGAGTGTTATGACACAAGGTTGGTGGATTACTATTGGTGATTACACAAGGTTGGTGTTCTTTTATGACACAAGGTTGGTGGATTACTATGACACAAGGTTGTGGATTTAGGGTGTTATTATATATACAAGGTTGGTGGATTACTATGGGGCATTATGACACAAGGTTGGTGGATTACTATGGGGCATTATGACACAAGGTTGGTGGATTACTATGGGGTGTTATGACACAAGGTTGGTGGATTACTATGGGGTGTTATTACACAAGGTTGGTGGAGTACTATCGGGCATTATGACACAAGGTTGGTGGATTACTATGGGGTGTTATGACACAAGGGATGATGGGACTACTATGGGGCATTGTAACACAATTATGGTTTGATTACTATGGGGTGTTCTGACACAAGGCTGGAAGAATAACAATTGGGTGTTCTGAGACAAGAGGTGGGGGATTAATATGGAGTGTTCTGCCAAGAGCTGGGAGATTACAGTTGGATGTTCTGAGACCAGGCTGACTGGAGTATCATTGTGCTCATCTACCTCTCTTCATCAGCTCCTGGGCTGTAGCTTTCCCAATGCCTGTGTTACCCCCAGTGATCAGCACCGTCTTGCCATCCATTCGTGCTCGGCTCCGCACTGGGCTCCCTGCTAGCCACTGACGCAGCAAGATGTACCCAAACCCTGCAGACAAGAAAACATTGTTTGTATCTCTAAGACTACAGATATAGCACAAACAGAATCTTCATAAACATTGACTTGTGGCTCATATGTGGCAAATATTACCACACATGGAAGTAAAAATGACTTAATCTTAAACAGCACAGCAGCACTTGGTGGCAAAGACATCAGTTGCTGTTATTACTGACTTGTGTGTTGAAAATGCCACAGGAACAGTACAAATTACATATGTAGAAGTTAAAAAAATATATCAACAAATATGTATATGTTTGTCTGTACACATGCCATCACTCTGCTATGCGACATTACTTACAGATAATTGATAAATAACAAAACTCAAGTAAATGGTATGTACTTTTCCAGTATGAATGGCATGACTATCTTTATCACTGGTGGTGGTGGTGTGTGGTCCTGTGTGTAGACCTCAGGTCACAAATCAGTTGAAGTTAAGCAATGTTGGGCACGGAAAGAGTGACCATGTTTGGCAGCTTGAGGGTTTCTAGGACTTCAGTCTTGCCCCACAATGAAGCACATGTGCATCATGTGGTCTCACCTTAGGCAAGTCAGTTTCTTCAAACTTGCCTCTGTTCACTCAACTAGAATATGGATACCCGGTGTGATAAGACATGTGACTATTAACCTTCTAGAGCCTCACAGGCAGCTTGGGTTATCCGCGGTAAGAATAATCAGATTATAGTGCTTTGAGTGTGACCCTCCATGGTGCAGGATTCAGCTCATTACAAAAGCCCTCATTATTATATGGCAGCACTCACCGACTCCAAGCACAGAGGACATCAGGATGTGATGACTGTGTGCCATGTCCAGGAAGGCTCTCCACATCTCCTCCAAAGACTGCATCTTTTTGGATCCTCACCTGTAAATAGCAGTGTCCATCACTTGTAATGAAGAAACATTACAGAATTTGGGCTCAAAGTCATGATTCCTCATGATTGTGTTTTTGTTTTGTTTATTTATTATTCAACTCCACACTCAGCAATATTCCAGCTATATGACGGTGGTCTGTAAATATTTGAGTCTGGATCAGACAATCCAGTGATTGACATCATGAACATCAATCCACACAACTGGGATACAATGACATGTGTCAACAAAGTCAGCAAGCAGGACCACCTGATCCTGTTAGTCGCCTCTTACGACAAACATGGGTTGCTGAAGACCAATTGTAACCCAGACCTCACGATTAGGAACTCTGATTATTAACTTTGCCCTCTGGATTAGATAACAGTATAAAATGTCTAAGTAGAGGCTGAAACAGTTGCCTGCCTGGCCTGTGGCTACTAACGATTGTCCAGGTATACTTGATATTTATTCCTACCTCCCCAGTAGAAATGTGCATTGCTACGATGGCAGTTACACATTTGAATCATTGATTTGTGACTCACTTACCTGTGACCAAGAGGTAGCTTTCTGTTTATGAAGCTGTATGTGTCAAAGGCACAGAGTAAAGTAAATCTTGGAAAAGTGGATAGCCACTTCTGTATGTTGATGTATTCACTAATATGAGTCTGCAAAGGTCAAGATGACCAGCTGTATTATGAGTCACCAAACCGCTTGGCTTGTTACAGTAACAGTTTCTACAGAACCTGCATCAAGGTCTATCATTTTTCAGGCTTTTCTCGCCCAATGCGATTTAACTCCTGACACCTTGTGAAGTGTATGAAACATTGTTAAATGTTTTCTGACCAGCTGTTGGGGATTTTTTCTATTGTTTAATACGACAAAAGTAGTTGTCAGATATGTAATTTGTACACTGCATTAATGCTGGTATACAGTGAATAAAACTGGTACTTGGTGGTGACTTAATAGTCAATAGTAATAATATGTGTGAATAAGTGTTTACTTCAAGGGGAAGTAATTCTTGTAATCATCGCCAACAGGTCCAACGCAACTCACCGTCTGCCGATGCAACAATGTTCAACGTTCTTGATGACTCCAAAGATTACACAGAGAAATAACCAAGTACTCTTCAAACTACGTTTCAAATCGCTGCTGTCGATATTATCCACACTGTGTGTGCTTAACTGTTCAGTGTTTTTATCATCGTGAAATGCAATCGTACCTGGTTGAGCTATCTAATGAATGGCTGGCTGACACAAATGTTCGCGGCTGATCTAACCATGTCCTGACAAACCTAACTTCATCCTATCAATAGTAGGTCTGGGTCAAAGTCCATGAAAAGCAAATGTAGATCAATTTGTTTGAAGGGCCGGTGCCCGTACCTCTATTTATCGCGTTTAAAAGGGAGGTAACTCTTCACTAATGATGACGATTTGGAGATTTTACGTGCGCTTTCTTCATTTATGGGATTTTTTTCTCTCCATACACACTTCAATTATTACCATTATTCGATTTCGACGTGTGAAGATCCGGTTGAGAATTAGTCTTCAGGAACCCATATGCATGCTTGCCGTAAGAGGCAACTGGGTGGATCAGGTGGTCAGGCTCGCTGACTAAGTTCTTGTCAACTAACAATTCCTTTTAATATGAAAAGGAGCCACGGTGATATGGGAGATTCATTACTTGAACCTGAGGAAATCTAGACTTGATTCATTTAGGGCTTAACACTACAGAAAGGGCTGGGCGGAAGGGGAAAATAATGCAGTTCAGGGACCGTGTGACCGTGTTCGACAAACTCGAACATGTAATGACATCGATACTACCCTGAACTTCTTATCAGATTGCAAAAACACTCAGCAATAGTCCAGCTATATGGCGGCGGTCTGTAAATAATCTAGCTCAGATGCATGAACGCTATGTATCTTAGCTATAAATAATCGAGTCGGGACCAGACAATCCAGTCATCAACAGCATGAGCATCGATCTGCGCAGTTGGGAACCGATGACATGTGTCAACCAAGTCAGCGAGCCTGACCACCCGATCCCGTTAATGGCCTCTTACGACAAGCATGGGTTATTTAAGTTCAATATTCTAACCCGGGCCTTCATGGGTATTTTTCCAACCAAGTGTAAACGTGGAGAAAAAACCTAGAGCAAAATATTAGGGTAGTGAGCACCTTGGTTTCAGGTGCAAGTGCGTGTGAACGCTGGGTATCAGGCATAATATAATAATAATAAATGCATATTTATAGTGCGCCTATTCCACATCCTTGGGCATGCTCAAAGCCCTATGTACAGATAATTTACACGAGAGTATTTACAGCCGAGATTATAAGTAATATACTGAGAACAGGTTTTAAGTCTGGACTTCAAAATGTCAATTGTGTCAGAGCTTTTAATATGTGCCTGAACCTTGTCAATCAGAATAAACAAGGCGTGACGAGGCACCCTCTATAACTTATGTAGAATCTGTCAGTGGTTTTGAATAACACGCGGCCTGCCTTTAGAATCCCCCACCAAATAAGCGCACGTGAAATCAAACATATTTGCATCTTTTTGTTTCAGAACATTGTTCACTTCATGGCCCGTCCCTATTCTTAACCATGACGTTGCAATATTGTTGTACAAATGTGTTACACCGACTCGCTCGGTTGTGTTCCCATGACGACAGTGGTCAGACTGGACTGACATTTGTAGGGCTTCAGTGCAGTGTTTGTTTACATCACAGAAATATACAAATTCATTTCATGGGGGATTTTAGGGGACGCTCACGGTGAAATTGCTCGCTCTTATTTTTCACATAGAATAGGAAAGCCACCATTTTGGTTTCTCTACGATTGATTTTAGCTATCCTAAGTTGGTCATGAGCAACTTAGACTTTGAATCTTAACTTTACGATTGACTTAGGTGTGATTGGTTAGTGGAACGGTATGCCGATCGTAACGTCACGCTAAGATTGGGATTTTAGGGGGATTTTACCGATTGGCATAGGAACAGGCTAAGATCGGTTAGTGGACAACAACATCGTCGACAGGGCCTAGATTTTTCAGCTCTCTTAGCGCAGTCGGGCCCTCTAGGTTTCACAAAGCTCTCGTAAGCCTAAGATCTCGTAACTTTTCTCGTAGCACTCGTACGTCCTATACTGTGACAAACCAGGGTGCGGTGGGGTAGCCTAGTGATTAAAGCGTTCACTCGTCATGCCGACGGCCCAGGTTCGATTCCCCTCATGGGGACAGTGTGTGAAGCCCATTTCTTTAGTCCCTGGTGATATTGCTGGAATATTGAAAAGCGGCGTAAAACCCTATTCACTCACTCAGTTACACAAACCTTCCTTTGCCAAGTGCACTATCAGCCAATAGGATGTTACGGGTGCCATTGTGCGGGGCTAATGGCGAAGATACGGTCACGTTAGGCTAACGAGGCTTTGTACACGTAGACCATCGGGGACGACAATCCAACCTGGGAACAGGACAATTCGTACCCATACTTGTTTGCTGGACTCGTACCCAAATATTGGACAGCCCGAGCCCAGTCGTACCTAAACACATGGATGACACAGAAATAGAATCCCTGAAGTTGAAAATATTTGTGTCGTTGTGAATAAGACTTCTTCTGTAGCTTAATACTGGGTATGTGCATTCCGATTTCTGCCATGGGGTTCATGGGTACGGGTCATCTAATTTGGGTTCGAATCATACTAAATCTGGGTACGTGTCGTCCAAATTTGGATAGGGTCATCCAAATTTTGTGACGGGCCCACCAAAGAAGGTCGTCTAAAATGGGCACGACGCTGACGAGAATGTTAGATACGAGTTAGCCATTTCCGTCGGGTACGAATATCCGAGTATCCCCGTAAGTCCAATACTTTAACATAGGCGTATGGTCGTCGTAGTGCTAATATCGCTTTCAGCAAGAAGATCCAGAGATATTTGGTACTTTACCAACAGGTCCCGGACATCGAGGTATTTTTTCGGACAGTTATTCTCCACGAACCATTTTCATTTTGCTTAAAAAAAATGTACAGATCCGAAGTTGCCTCAATATTATACTCGATAGTAATTAATTATTATTATTATTGTCATATTACAGTCGGTCGGGTAATATACATTTATCACTCAAAAATACATAACGGCCATCTTATTCTTCCACCCGTGAAGATCCGGGTTTGAGTAACTGTTGCTTGTCGTAAGAGGCGACTGAGGAGATCGGATGGTCAGGCGCGCTGACTTGGTTGACACATGTCATGTTTCCAAATTGCGTAGATCGATGCCCATGCTGTTGATCACCGAAGCTATTTTGTGTGTTGGTTTCTTTGTTGTTTTACGCCGCACTCAGCAATATTCCTGCTATGTGGCGTAATAATCGAGTCTGGACCAGACAATCAAATGCTCAACAGCATGAGCATCGATATACGCAAATGGGATACGATGATATGTGTCAACCAAGTCGCCTCTTACGACAAGCATTGGTTGCTGAAGACCAATTCCAACCCGTCTCTTCACAGGTGGACTGTTGTAAAGGTGGGTATTGAGCAGAAAAAAGACGGCCATTGAAAATGTGACAAAACATCCAAGAATAAAACTTTTATTTCATAAAAAATACTTTGTTCAAAACATGAATGTTTACACACGTGTCATAGACATCAACAGACAGTGGTCCTTATTATGGTCATGCAATATAAATAACAGCTGCAGGTATATGTTTCTGTGTTGTGGTTGGTGTAGCAGTTGGATGTACCCAGGAACCTACAGTTACACAGGTCGTGGAGAATATCAATAGTGTGTTTCAAGCGCTCCTCTTTAATGCCATGGCCGTTAATATGTAAGCGTGTTTCATACAGTATAATATATAGAGCGTGTGCTTTTTACCGATATTTAATAATAATGAGAATATTTATAACGCGCTCTTTTCAAGGCTGGATATCCTGCTAAAAGAGCACAATCTGATCATTATTACACCGGATAACCCAAGCTGCAACGCTAGAAGGTTAATAGTCTCACGACTTATTTCACCGGGTACCCATTTTCTGCTGGGTGAATAGAGGCAATTTTGAACAAACTCACGTGCCTAAGGTGAAACTACATGTATCACATGTGCTTCGGTGTGGGGCAGGACTAAAGTCCTAGAAACTCTCAGGAGTCAAGCTGTCACACACGGTCACCCATCCAAGGACTCAGCGCTCCCAACTTGCTTAACTTCAACTGATTCGGACCTGAGCTCTATGCACAGGACCACACATCACCACGTAGAACAGTACTTCAGTTACATCACGGGAAGCAGCTTAAAGTAGCATGATATCCACAACTGATGCCAACAAACGTGCAATATTGTACATACTTGCCCGATCAAAATAAAGTTTAATTTCCTCCATATCCGCAGCTATAGGGAGTGAGTATGTATGGGTATAAGCCCTGGGCCTCCTTTCACAAAGCATTAAGGTGATCGTAAGTCACTAAGGTAACCTTAGTGCAATGTTAAAGAATGGGAGTTAATAAGGTTAACCTTAGTAATGGTTGCTTCGTGAAAGGAGGCCCTGTTTAGTAACATTCAAGCAATATTACAGCGGGTGACACCGTACCAGAAATGGGTTTGACACATTTTGCGAACGCTTTAACCACCTGGCTACCCCACCGCCCCTGGACATTGAGCGAGTGCATGGGTGAAATCGGTTTGATCCGTGGTGAGTGTCAGAAGGACGTTGAGGAATGACCACCAGGAAGCAGATACTGAACACTTGTTGAAATCCCCACTCAGCAATATTCCAGCTATATGAAGGTTTTCAGTAAGTCTTAGAGTCTGGACCAGACATACCAAGACTCACGTCAGTTTGGACATGATGACATGCACTAATCACTTCTGACCACCGCTAGTCGCCTCTAACGACAGTCATGGGTCGCTATATAGAACAACTGAAGGCGTTTAGTGAGATCTACCCAGTAGCTATGTGTAAGGTGCTGACAGATCAAGGTTCACAGTCTGGAACTTGAACCAAGACAAACGGACCTTGCTACACAAGGACACAGCTCTACACCACCAGGTCCCATAGACCTTAACATTATGCGTTTCATCAGGTCATATTATTTTCTTCCTTAACCGAGGTATATCATTTAGTAAATAGTCTTCATATCTAACCATATGTTTGATACGTTAATCTCATGCATCCATAATAATATAATAATTGACCGAAAGTCGTTGAAATCATCAAAGTGAGCGAATTGTTTCTGCAATAGAATCCTGATGCATCCACATTTTCACTAAAACATCTCCAGCAGCCGAACATGAACTATTATCAACACACTCAAACAGTCGTCTGTTCGAGCCAGATTTGGTCTCAGTTCCCTGGCTTTCAGTTTCAGTTTCAGTTTTCTTGTCCTCACAACTCGGTTCTGCACAGTTGAACGTTGTTTTGCTACCTTTTTCGGAGTTATCTCCCCCTGTTCCGAGGCCGGTCATTTCCTCACTCAGCCTCCACAATCTCCTGGCAGCATCCTCGTCGGTGGCGTGAGGCAGCAACTTCGTCTCTGTACAGTCGCTGTTAAGGGGAAAATGATACAATAATACAATAATGAATCCGTTTACTGTGAAGTGACGTCTTGTATCATTATGACAGTGTATAGGGCCCGTAAGTAGGTCACGGCACTTCACGAGACCTTACGTTGTTTAGTACTTCCGGTAACTTCCGGTATCAACGTTTCATACGTCAGTTGACAGTAGGGAACGGATAATCCTTGAAGAAATAACAATTTCCAACCTAACATCCCCAAATTAGCCAACTATTACGACTCTCAACAAACGTGACAGCCAAGCATGGTTGTACTCTTGGTCCGTCAAGAAAGTCATATTTGGCGGTCGCGCAATTTGGAACCAGAACTGGTTCTTGAATATACGCTTGTCATCGGAAATCTGGTATCAGAAGTAAGCTGGTCCCCTTCTCGCAAATCGCAAGTTGGCGCGCGCAAAGGGAGCCGTGAACCAGCTTAGTTCTGGAAGTAGGGCGTCGCGAGACTTACAGCCCGAGAGACGACAGCTCATCACTTTCATGATCAGCATAGCGCTAGGCAAGGTAACCACAAGCAACATCTTTTAACCTGCTGTGGCACTGAATCCCTGACAGGCCCAATCTCCTCGACAAAACCATGACTGGGCACTGTTTTGTTTGTTAGTTGTTTAGCGCCAAACTCAGCAGTATACCCAGCTACATGGCGACTGTCTGTAAATAATTGAGTCTAGACCAAAATCCAGCGATCAACAGCATGAGCATCGATCTACGCAAATGGGATACGATGACATGTCAACCAAGTAAGCGAGCCTGACCACACGATCCCGTTAATCGCCTATTACGACAAGCATAGGTTACTGAAGATCAATTTAAAACCGGATCTCAGAACCTGTTGGGTCATTGTTGTACCAGTACCATTTACTAACGCCAGTTCAGTCAGTGAGTCTGGTGTCACGAATGTTCACAGACTCTACCATGCAGCTACGTGTCAATGAGTTCAAACAGTGAACACACATTTCACTGGACTATACGTCCTTACCTGAAGTACTTCCCAGTCACTCCCTCCAGTTCCTGAGCCACAGCGCAGCAGATGGATGTCTGGGCGCCCTGCTGGACTGTCTTGAAGGTGAGTGCCTGCACCAGGAGGTACAGGGGCTTGATGAAGAATTGCAGGATCCTGGGAATCCTGTCTTCGATGTGCCTGGCCAGGTCACTCGCGATCACGCCAGGGTGGAGGGAATTCACCGTTACACCTGTCCCTGGAACACAACAACCCTTAATTATCAGAAAAATGACGTCTTACATAATTAATTTGTCCAAAGATGGGGGTTGTCGTGTTGTGTGTAAATGTAACGCCAACAGTTCAGCTATTCCAGAGGGACCATACAAAGTGTACCTTACATTTCATTTCACCTGAAATGTCAGAACTGGTCTGCTAATGAAATATTTTCGTGTAAGGTAAGATGATGTACAAGGTAGTAACAAAACTGCTTCCGGCAGTAACAAAATAGCGTTACCTTTCAGTTTCTTGGCAAGCTCATTTGCAAAGAGAATATTTGCAACTTTACTTTGAGCGTAGGCACCGTATGGGCTATACTCCTGCTCACTGTTGATGTCGTCAAAGTTGATGTTTCCCTCTGGAAACATATTTGAAGGGTTGTCCAATCATTATACATAATGTCACTAAAATGCATAAATAAAGTTTATCAGATACAAAATCATTGGCGGATCAAAGTCCTTTCTTTTCAGGGGAGGTAGGGTAGCCTAGTGGTCGATTACCACGATACATTATTACTGTACAATGTGTGAAGCCCATTTCTGGTGTCCTCCCGCCGTGTCATTGCTGTTCATCCACTTTTTGTCTCTTTTTTGTAACCCTAAATAAATTTGGAAATTTGATATTTTTGTTTTGGACCTAACTACCAGAATTTAAAGGCCCAAAATCTTCAAACCAAAAGAACATCTCGCCTTTTATTTTATTCACCTCAGCAATCTTCTAAAGAAGAAATATTCACATTTGCAACTTAATATCGTATTCACCATTCTAAAGTATCTCAATGTCGAGACGATCAGACAATCGCTTCTAAATGCCATTCAAATCTATTCTTTCTGGGCATGACAACCATCCCACTGACCGCATCGTCAAGTTCACAGTGAGGCGGTGGGGTAGCTTAGTGGGTAAAGCGTTCGCTCGTAACGCCGAAGACCCGGGTTCGATTCCCAACATGGGCACAATGTGTGAAGGCCATTTCTGGTGTCCCTCGCCGTGATATTGCTGGAATATCGCTAAAAGTGGCGTAAATCCATACTCACCCACTCAAGTTCTCAGGAGACGACTAGTGGCAATACAGAAGTCATGATCAAGAAAGGACTGTAACTTAGGGAAGAGCAAGGTACTCACTTTTATATATACCCGAGGAAACCACGACGATACGACTGGGTGCGGACCTCTGGATGAGCCCCAGGAGGAGGTTTGTGAGAAGGAAGTGACCCAGGTGGTTGGTAGCAAACTGGAGCTCATAGCCCTGCTTGGATAGCATCTTGGGACACATCATCACACCTGTAGGGAGGACAGTATCAAGATCTATACAATGTGTACACGAATACAGGAATGTTCAAGGGGTAGGAGATCCGCCAATGTCTATACACGAAGTGTTGAGATGTGTTAAGTGTCGAGGCCTGTTACTATTCTGTTTTCAGCCATTTAAACGTTGAAAACGCATGCTTAGATGGAACGAAGAGCATCATTGCATACATCATTACATCTTCAGGAGACATTTTACGACCATGGGGGTTGCTCCCAGGAAGGAACAGATACTTTTTAAGATTTGGAATTAAGAAAATAAGTACATGTAGTGCAACTGAAGGATATTTCCTTCGAAAAGACAGAGTGAAAAACCAGTTCTGGAGACCAGCGTATGGTGTCTACCTCGGTAAGTATATAGCGAACATCAGTAAGAAACACTCACTGGTGATGACTAAATTCGTGACAAAGCGAATTAATCTTAGAGCGACTTTGACCAGTATTTAGGTTTTCACAATAATGTAACTTATAACTATTAGTTGGAACCAAAATAGTAGTCGATCATATATGTTAGGATTTGCTTCGCATAACCGTAACCGACATCTCTTTATACGCATCTTGAGTATCGTGTGGGTGTGACGCTACCTGCATTGTTGACGAGTATATCCAGCTGCGGCTCCTCATCGTTGATATCCTTCGCGAACTGTCTGACCGAGTCCAGATCCGAGAGATCCAATGTCTTCACCATCAGCTTCTGTCCTGACGTCTTGAATATATCGTCTGCGGCAGCCATGCCTTTCAATGGATCCCGACACGCCAGCAGCACACGGGCACCTGTCAACAGCCGCTGATGTCGGTAACATGGGCTTGACCCAGACTGGGTTATTATGGATTATGGATTTTCGGATGCTTAAGAATAATTCTTTACTCGGTAATCACTCAGAAAGCTGTAAAACATCACACTAACTTACAAACTTTTATTAAAAGACAACTTTATCTTACAATGTGTTTGTGGCGCAACAAATCTCGCTATAGCGCGAGGAAACACTTGTCTCAAAACGTATATTGTGTGTATCACTTGGCTTAACACAGACAAAGCAAATTTGAATATGAACTTGCGGAGGAAATTGGATCTAACACCGCTTTTGAACATGAATTTAGCTGTATCACTGCGCGTCCCTTCATGTTGACAGAAATCCCTAAGTGACACAGGTCCTGTATGTTTACTACTTAATGAATCGAGTTTTAGTGAGTTTAGTTTTACGCCGCACTCAGCAATATTCCAGCCATATGGCGCTTAATGAATCGAGGCGGTAGGGTGGCCAAGTGGTTAAAGCGTTCGCTTGTCACGCCGAAGATCCGGGTTCGATTCCCCACATGGGTACAATGTGTTAAGCCTATTTCTGGTGTTCCCCGCCGTGACATTGCTGGAATATTGCTAAAATCGGAGTTAAACTAAACCCGTTCACCCCTTAATGAACCCATCAAACACGGCTATTTGGTTGACAAACCAAGAATCATTATCAGGAACAAATACCTATATCCGTGAATCCTGGGATTCTAAGCTGCTTTCTACACGACTATGACCCTCGCGACCACTTTGTCAAACGGAATACCGACACAGATTTTGGACCGTCTAAAAGATCATGTACTGAGCTGTAAGGTTCTTTGTTCAAGGGATTATTAACTTTCTGAGACACCAAAGTGACAACCATCATGATTGCTAACAATCGGCTTCAACCTGCTGAATGAGGTTGAACATATATACGAAACTTGGACTGCCAAAGGGATTCCTACCTCGCAGAGCCAGGTCCATCGCCGTCTCCTTCCCAATGCCGGTGTTGGCGCCGGTGACGATGGCGAACTTCCCGTTGAGGCGGGCCTTGCTGCGACATACTCCCCCACTGACCAGTTGTCGTAGCAACGCAATTCCAATGCCTGAGAGACATGACAGACAAATTGATAGTTGCACGGCAGTGTATCAGCAGCAGTGATTTGTTTTGAAGTTTTAAAGCTTTATTACCGATGTCTGTCTACCATAGGGCACAGGTCAAAATATCACAGGTCATGTGCCTCTACTGTATTCGGTCACTAAATGTGTCCAAGCTGTATTCGGACAAAATATGTGCCCCCCGCTGTGTTCTGTCAAAACGTGTGTCTCTGCTGTATTCGGTCACAAAATACGTCCCAGCTGTATTCGGAAAAAATATGTGCCCCTAATTTATTCGCTCAAAATATATTGCCCTGATGTATTCGGTCAAAAATATGTGCCCCTGATGATGTATTCGGTCAAAATATGTGCAAACCCCTGATGTATTCGGACGTAAACAAAATATGTGCCCCTGGTGTATTCGGTCAAAAAATATGTGCCCCTGATGTATTCGGACAAAATATGTGCCCCCTGATGTATTCAAACAAAATATGTGCCCATGATGTATTCAAACAACAAAATATATGCCCCTGATGTATTCAAACAAAATATATCCCTTGTTTTCGGTTCAAGTTTGTGTCCCCGCTTTACTCGTTAACATTATGCCCACGCTTTTTTCGGCCAAAATATGTGTAATTCCTGTACTCACCCAAAACATCATAGTCGATAATCTCCGGGGTATACGTTCCGATAAATCTCATGTATACCCTGGATGCATCTACGGCTCGAGTCGATGATTTTATTACCTCCCTTTGCTGGCTCCGCATTCTCACAGTAGCCAGTCAGATAAGCCGCCGTTACAACCGAGCTTGACAGTGTCAACAAAGATAGCGGTCGCAGCCGCGAAAGTTTGTTCGCAGTGTGACTCAGATTTGGGGGAAAACATACAGACAAATTGACAGGTCTGAAATCTTAAAAAAATATATGCAAGAACTCCTTTTACCTCTTCCAGAGTACCTCTGCAACAATATATTATTGTGTTGCCAAGTTTAATCGGTTAGATAATTTAAAAAGCGAAAGTGAGTTGTGATTGGTACACTCAACTTCCCATCGTAGACACCTGATTGGATAAAGAGCCAACCAAGGGAGGTAATAAAATCACCGGCTCGAGCCGTAGATGCATCTAGGGTACAGTGGAGATTTATCGGAACCCTCGGGATTATCGAGGATGCCAAAACAGGTGTCCATGCTGTATTCGGTCAAACTTGATGCCCCTGAATTTTATGTGGTTGTAAAAGCCGACCAATATGTCCGGGACAAACAAGTAATGATTATTTCGATAGCTCGTGAATCGACCATTGCTGCCACATACACCACACACTAACAGTCTGGTAACAGTTTGGTTTGGTTGGGATGTAGTTTAACGCCGCACTCAGCAATCTCGTAACAGCCGGGCTATACATACCCAGGAGGCCATTTTAACCACGTGTGCGTGCGTGCGTGCGTGTGAAGACACACGGTTTCGTCATCACTCTTGCCCAGCCGTACAGATTAATCTTATCACTCAAAGATAACTGATGTAAGCACACTTAAAACCAAAGGTGACATATGCAGTGACATGTGCGTGCATGCGTATCTGCGTACGAACTAATGCATTCCCGTTCATGGCTAACCCACTGAGAGATAGTCTACAGACTCCACATCCAACCATTCATATTTTATCCTCTTTAAATGCTGCTCACAAGACGGGGTAACAAGAAGTAACATTACGTAATTTTGTATGATGTCACTCGGGATTGAACCACCGACATAATGCTCTTCGGGCAGACAACCAGGAAATCAGAAGTCTGTAACGAAGGACACGATAATATCCAAACAAAGCACGTGAAATTGCAAACCGAGCTCATGGTCTCATGCAACATCTGGCCATTATGGTAGGCCTATATAACGATTATGAAAGCTGTAGTCTGTGCACCTATACGTTAGTATTGACCGACCTACTGCTGGTGTCAATAAGTGGGACGAGATTTACTAACACCCAGTCTTACTGACTATTGAAGGGGGACTAGGCCACGACCAGTATCAGTCCTTCAAAATAACTGTCCAGTCGCCCAGAGCCCAAGCTGTAAGCAGACTTACTGTGACATGTACATATTATGTAGATCAAGCCAGCGGTTAACAATCAATTAATCCAATTACACACATAGTGTATCAGCTTGACACTGGTGTACTGGCCCGTCCAAAAATTGAAACAATATTTTGAAGATGACTATGACTATGAAAACCTACAAATAATTGAAATATAGAATACAGAAAGGTACAGAGACAATACCTATATAGTACATAGTCATTTGACTTCCATTTTCTGCACAGTTGATACATAACTTATGATATTACTCAGTGTGATCATTTGGAGAAACAGGTAGTGCCCTTGCGTAGGGGTTATCAGTGGTCGCTTAGACATTTGTCAAATTGAGATCAATGTTATCTTTCGAAAGGTACGTGGACGTTCAGGATAGAGACATCTCAACATTTAATAGGGATAATCATTTATATACATATATATACAATCCATGAGGCTGGAAATAATGTAGACTAATGTTTAGTCTCTAAATATATATATATATATATATATATATATATATGTTTGATAGTAACAAACAAGCCCATTTAAATTGAAAAGGAGCCCCAGGGAGACCAGAGATTCAGAGCCTGAATCTAGACTTGCTTTATTTAGGGCTTTCGCACTGCAGAGAGGGCTAGGCAGTAGGGAAAATAATGTGGCTCAGGGACTATGAGACAGACTAGAAATAATGTTCCGATATTTATCATTTATTAGCACATATGCAGTTAAACCAAGTTTAGTGCTTGCTGAGAAAGGGTACAATGTGTGAAGCCCATTTCTGGTTTTCCCCGCCGTGATATTGCTGGAACAATGCTAAAAGCGGCGTAAAACAAAATATTAAGATTATTAACCGAATGTATTTCCGTATCATTAATATCATATTTTAAGAATAAAAATTGTTATTATGCGAGCCTGTGTCATCTATAGTTCATGACGTATAGAATCTATTTAATTGCGTCACATAAACAATAGGTTGCCCTCAGTGAAGTGTATACATTTATATGGCTGACATGTCACACCCGTGGTCCACTTCTCTCTCCAAATACCAATGAACAATATACAGAATAACGTACTCAGAGTTACGGACTATCCGCCTCTGTTGTGTGGCCCTCGTGAAAAGGCTCAGCATAATCCATTTGCTCGTGACAGATAATCCATAATTACTAGTATCTCGATCGTTATGTTCTATATCGTGCGATACAAATATACGCTTGACATATTATGGAAATCAGCTGTGTACATCATGGCGAGACAAAAACGTATACTAACAAACGAGGAGCAGTATATGAAAATAAAGAATAGGCGGCAAAACTTAACCATTTACCGGGTGAATACTAGTCTGTCGTACAGACCCTGAAGCAAATATATCCAAGAAAGCCGACGCAAGTCTAGAAAATGTGGCAAGTCTAGATTTCCTCAGCTTCAGGTTCTGAATATGAAGAAAGTCTCAGGGCTCCTTTTCATTATATTTTTTTATTTTTACTATGAACTTTTTTCAGTAAAATATGTTCATTTCAGAGACTAGTTGTTAGTCTAGGTGAATACATACAGTGCCCCGTTACCTTGGTTTCCATTGTAAATTCATATATTCCATTACTGTTTGGCTTTTCATCATACAGTATTAATGTATTGTGCAGCTCACAGGCTGGTGATGTGAGATTATTAATGTGTCCTGCATACCGCGTGACTGGTAAATTTATACATCAATTCCGACCTGCTTTCCTGAATACGGATTCAAGCTTGGCTGGTCGTTTTGAACGCCACACAACAGACAAGGGTAAAATGTAATTACGTTGCTAGGGATAGAACTGGCTGTATGATAAAATGACACAGGTATGTTTGTGTTTAACAATATATATTAATTTGAAGATTATAGGGACTGGACTTTTCAAATAAAAAATAAAATGTCTCGTCACTATTTTTATAAATCAACAGGTAGAAGAGTATAAGACAAAATATTATGGATGTCAATGTGTTTTCTAGTGACTCAACAACAGGGAAATAAAGCGATACATAGCTGTAACCCAGCCTAATTTTAACTACATCGTCTCTGCTCTTCTTATTTAACACCCACCAAAATAGAATAAACAGACAATTTGCAATGCATACCTATTCCCTTCAGAGCGAAACTTGCCTAACGACAAACCGCAGGTGTTTCACAACGAGTGTATGCGTATATAATGCATACATGGGAAACTTCATTTCGCATGCATTCGTGCAGAGACCATATATCCGATTCGTGTGATGATTTCCCTTCGTATATATGCATACAGATTATGTACTTTCCCCACTCAGTCTCTATCTCGCCTCTCCCACACTCACCCACGCTGACGACCCCGGCTATGGCGATGTAGTTCCCACGGGCGGTGTCCAACACCCTTGTGACGAGGCTCGCACCCCCGTCAGTCGCGGCCATGGCGAGGTCTTCTCACTGATCAATGTCCACAACGCCTGTCGGGTGACAACTCAAGCTACTGCTTGAACACGGGTCACGCGTCACTGACCTCAAGTCGACTGACCCAGTACGAGGAAGAAACTGTGACTGCATATATAAACTCGCCTTGTGTGTTTCCGGAAATAGACAACGAGGAGGTTCACGACGGGTAGTAGTTGTAATGCATTAATGATAGTGGCTGTGGCTAGCCTACACTGATACACACGTGGTTACCACGTGGGTGTGTCTGTCCATAGTTGTACGATACAACGGTTACAAGTGGCGGTATGCGTGTCATATATAGTGAGCGACCTTGCAGGAAGCAGATACGTTTCTTGAGAAATGCTCACGTTTTGCGGTAGACTAACATCTAGTCTCTGAAATGAACATATTTTACAGAAAAAACTGTTCCTAAATTATAATTAAAAAATAATATGTAAAGTAGGCCAGGGACTTTCTTCATTCCTCAACCTGTGAAAATCTAGACTTGCCACACATTTTATACTTGCATGGGGGTTCTTGGAAATATTTGTTAGTTTTGCGGTAAGAGTTAGACTAACGTTTAGTCTGTAAAATGCATATATACACTAATATAAATATATTTGATAGAAACAAGCTAAAGATTTACTGAATTGAAAAGTGGCAGGAGAGAGGTACACTAAACGCTTAGTCTCTGAATACGTGTATATGTAATTTCGATATCAACAAATAAACCCATTTAAATTGAAAAGGAGCCCCAGTGAGATGGGAGATTCCTGAACCTGAGGGAATCTAGACTTGCTTCATTTAGGGCTTTAGCCTTGCAGGGGCTAGGCAGGAGGAAACTAATGTGGTTCAGGGACTGTGAGACAGAGTAGGAGTGAGATGGAAGACAAGAACCTGAACAAAATCTAGACTTGCATTAATACAGTAAAGACTGGGTGGACGGGAAAACGATATGGTTCAGGGATTGTAGTCGACTAACGCTTGGACGCTTGATATAATAATTTGATTAAGTCCATTTAAATTGAAATGGAGCCCCAGTGAGATGGGAGATTCAGATCTGAACCTGAGGAAAATCTAGACTTACTCCAATCAGAGGTGTCGCATTGCAGAAAGGGCTGGGCGGAAGGGAAAATAATGTTAAGGGACTGTGAGATTGACTAATGACAGATCAGCATGATCCCACAACCTCTTTTGCACGATAAAACATTTCCTACAGATCATATATTTTATGATGCCCTTCATTATTGCAAAGTCCACATGCAGTATTCTAGTCTGTCTCACGGCCCCTGATCCACATTACTTTCCCTACTGACCAGCCCTCCCTCCAACGCTTAAGCCCTAAATGAAGAAAGTTTAGATTCTCCCTGAATCTCCCAACTCATTGGGGCTCATTTTCAATTTAAATGGGTTTATTTGTTACTATCACAATTATATATATTTAGGGACTAAGAGTTAGTCTAGCAGTATTCTTTCGTAGGGGAGTTTCACTGTATATAACCATGGTCAAATCACGGGGGTTTGTGAGAGGCGGCTAACTGGCTCAGGTGGTCAGGATGGGTTGATTGTATACCATTGTATCCCAAATGTGTGGATCGATACCCATTTCAGAGAATGATGTGTCTGGTCCATGTTCTGTAACTGTGCTAAACTAGACTTGCCACATTTTCTAGACTCGCATTGTTTGTATTGGCAGAGAGTGCGAGCTCGAGACCCTACACCGATAGGGTCTTTGCCGTATACGATCTCTGGTATTAGGTATGTTTGGTTCGGGTGGTGGGGTACCCTAGTGGTTAAAGCGTTCGCTCGTCACGCCGAAGACCCTGGTTCGAATCCCCATATGAGTACAATGTGTGAAGCTCATTTCTGGTGTGATATTTCTGGAATATTGCACTCACCCACACGGTATTTGTTTCAGGGTCTGCATGTCAAGACTAAGGGTTATGACACAGCTCAAAGGCCAGTCTTATCACACAGTGTCGTAAATGAGAGAAGCGCCCCTTGGACCAGGTGAACAGTTGTTAGAAATGTCCTCCCGTCAATTAACCGATTTTATCTCCATCTAACCGATCTAATCTCTTGTCGTGATTCTTCCGTGCTCCCGAACTAACCAGACAGCTTACAATCACGGTAATTGCCCCCAGTTTCATAACAGATAAGCCATTTGCTGACGCATCTGAAATCACATTGACTTGCCAATGAGGTATAAACAATGATTCTGGCTTTTGTCGATCGTCTCGTGGACTCCCCGGACGTACCTACAGTACGTACATTGCCTGTATACTATTCCAACTTCGAATCTAGATTTTCATCTTGATGTTTGTGCATATACAAGATATTCTGAAAATTATTGAAGAATCGGTCCATCTATCGACTTCAGAGAAAGCTGCATATGTTATTACCAGCTTACACCGTGGAAAGACTGGCTGCCATCCACCTCTATGTGCGCGTTGTTTTTGGGAGTATATTTGTAGGATGTTTAGGACCCACTTTAACCGGGACCCAAATAAATCGTATTTTGTACACATAATTGATAATAAAGAAATCGTAATGGCGTCTGTAAAATATCCTTTATATAGTATATTTATTCGTCATTGCACAGTTATATGACTTCAAATAAGACGCTTTATCTGTGGTTTCCAGATCACATTGACAGGTATTCGGGTTGCAGAGGTTACTAATCTGACTGTGTGAAAAAACTGCATCCAGGACTGAGGGGAAGGGGGCGGAGTGTGGGGCATCGCGTCTATGATGGAATTATCAAAGCGTTAAATTTTGATTGTGTGCATTGTTAGCGTGAGTAGTAAATGGATTAGTGCACTCTTCTCCTATAAATACCACCATGGTGTGAACCTATTGTCGCAAATATGTGCATGACGCTATCTATTGGTCACGTGCTCAATATAAGTGACGTTCATTTATCAATGCGCACTAAGCTGATGTCGCTGATGTTCCAGTTTAAGTGCTGATGTTAAATGGATTGAATTATGGCCAATGCATGATAAAAAGTAAACACCATGAAGGGAAAATAATTGTTTGGGACTGTGAGATTGACTAATGACAGACCAGCTTTATCCCACACACTCTTTTGCTCGATAAAACATTCCTCCTTAAAACAGAGCTTAACACGTGCTTAAATCGCCCCCATGTATTAAGTTTACAGAATTCAAGATATATAGTTGGCTGATAAAAACCCCTGTAGGAAGGTAAGCCTTTTCCCGTTACATGTGATGGTCAGAGTACTAAAAACTAACTGAATCGGACATAAAATATTCCCAAAGCCAATCTTTGAACCACAGTTGGTATACAATGTCTCCATTCTTTCACTCACAGTCTGGTGGCGATGTCAACCCCAGTAAGTTATTTTCAGGAAGGTCAGCTCTGATGTAGGTGAGGTGAAATTGGGTTTAACGTCATGCTTGAGAATATTTCGCTCATATGACGACGTGCATGCGTGTGTATGTGGGTGTGCGGCTGCTTGTACTAGCCCGGACTGAAGCTGGTTTTATAGTGCTAGCCCACTGAGATACCATGCCGCAGTGAAGCATGAATACCCCACTCAGACACATTATACTGTCTCCGAGCCGACCAGTCCTTGTTGTACCCATTAATGCCGAGCGCCAGGCAGGGACCAACAAGTACCATATTTTAACGTATTTTGGTATGACGCGGTCGGGGATGGAACCCTCGACCTTCCGCTCTCCGGGCGGACGCTCTAACCACTACACCACGGAGGCGGTCCTGATGTAGGTAATCGTCCAAAAGGTATACAGACCTTAAAATATCGTGTTTAGACCTACTTCGCCAGTGATTAATAATACGAACACTCACATTACTGACTGAATTCAGTAGATATCTTGCTTCCTAGTTATTCAGTGTACTTCTTCGTGAAAACATTTCAACTATATTTAAGTTTATCACGCGGCACTGATGTCGAGGTCGACTATTATTGTACTCGAATAGTGCTAAAATAGTAATAACACTGAAAATAATATAATTTGAAAATTATTATTCATTTTCTGGAATGAATTTATATTCCTGTATATATGCCATTGTCTATCCTTCCCATTGTGCCAGGACTCATCCTCGATGATACAGTGTAATTTGTTTCAGTTCCAATACACAACATACCCTGGGGGGCGTGGGGTAGCCTAGTGGTTATAGTGCCCTCTCGTCACACTGAAGATCCGGGTGCGATTCCCCACATGGGTACAATGTGTGAAGCCCATTTCTGGAATATTGCTAAAAGCGTCATAAAAATCACTCACTCATTCTCTAGAATACACTGGACTCATTCGCCTACACTGTTTTTGTCTCGGCGAGTTTCTTTGCTAATATTTCCTTGTTTGCTATGAGCAAAGGACTGAAGGCGTTACAATTACTGATGTAAGTTTCTGTTTGAAATGGCGTTGTAAAATTAGGAAACATGCGTCCATCCACCTGAATGGCTGTGCAAATATATACACCTCAGCAACCATGACCTGGGGTATGGCGGCACGACAATGTACACGTGCAGAAAAGTACATGTAAACTGATAAATTCAAACTTTAACACTTGTTTTGAGGTATCTTAAACTGTAAAGTAGGAGAGCTATGAGAATTAGTGCAAACGGAAACTCACATACTGTTTTAGTACAGTATCCACACATCCAACTTTACAACAGGAGATCTTAATCTTACAATACATGCATAATGCAAGGTTTCATACAGCCGTGTATTGTATTGATCGGTGGAACGTTTTCAGACTTTTCTGTCGGGGATTAATGGGAATGTAGAGCATTGAAGAATGATGTATTTGTTTTTCTATAAAAAAAGGAATGAATGTAACAAGAGCCTTTTTATTGGTAACATAACATACCTCAAAATCATATTTCTGCTTTTCAAAGGAATATGCGCACAATTTCTAACAGTTTTGTCTTATGGCAATATAGCCGAGATCGAAATAGTATTTCGAAACGATGAATACAACTGAAAGCTTAATACTTAGAAGATAATTATTAATTTTCTGGAATGAATCGGATGACATCCCGTAGTGTTGATGCAGCAGAGTCGATGGTGAACAGAATCACCGAGAAATGTCTCTTCACACGTTCCCAACGTGCCTCAACATCCGGGGCCTTCTCTATCTCAAACAGAAGGTCAACGAGGCCAGGGAAACTACTTCCGGCGTAGGAATCTGTGCTG